TGATGTTAATTTATGTCTGCAAAATTTAGTCAGATGTGAAGAAAGTCATAAAAAAGCACTTTGAAAATTTTGATAATAAAAATATAAAATGAATGATAACAACGTACGGATCGCATAATAATCGTAAAACAAATTATTATATACAAAAAATTCACCGGGCGATTGTATAAGAAATTAAAGAAATAAAATAAAAAGAAATTTTTTGCTTCTTTAAAAATTCAATGATGAAAAATTTTCTTTATTACACACATTCGGGCGAATAATTTCATAACCACTAAGGTGAATAAGCAAGCAAGTGCGAATGAGCATTAAAATTGATATGGAAAAAAATGTATACACTCGTAAATAGTCCCGGCATTCGGACGCCTTTATTACAAGATAAAAAGTTTATATTTTTTGGGAAGAAAGTTAATAAACATTGAAGATTTTAGCGCATTTTTGCAAATTTCAATTTAACTGCTGAACAGACAATTTTAACGATTTTTCAAATTTTAAATCGCCTCTTAAAATATAGCAAAATTTTCATTCCTTTTTGATGAGAAAAATTGTTTAAAATTCAATTTTCAAGTATTTTAGACAGCTTTTATGATTAGAATTGCTTATAGATTGTTTTTGCCATGTTTTTCTTTGCAACAGTGCCAAAATTCCCCCACTTAACTGTCTAACATCGACAAAATCAACAAAACAAATTTCCAAGTGAGAAAAACTTTGACGCCATTTTGCAAAAAAAAATTAAATTTTAATAATCAGTTACAAATTTTGTAATACTCATAATGCAAGCCTCATTATCCTAAAACTCTGCTAAAAATTTCTTTTACATTCACTCATCAATGCCAAAAAAGTGGTTTTGCTGTTCATGTTCAAGGTTGTTTCCTCATACATAATCACATAAAATGATGATGATGATATTTTGTTATTTTTGGACAAACGAATAACCTGAACTTCACTCAACCGCTCTCGCTTCTCCTCTTTTTCTTTCTTTTCGCTTTTCATTTCTTTCTTTCTTTCTTTTTTTTTACCTCGCTTTGATTGTGAAATGGAAAGTACGCTCATCGTACACACCGAAACACAGAGACTACATTATACACCATACACAAAGTCGAAAAAATTTCTCTAAAATTACCATGATTGATAGTGCATGAATGTATCTTTCAGCGGGTGAGGTACATAAATTGCGTTATTTCATAATTGGCTTTGTTTTGCTCTGACCTTGCGGCTTTTGCTTTTTTTTGCGCCAGCTCGGCTCGAAATTCAATTGATATATTTTCACATTTCTTCGGCCTTTAATGTGTGTATATATGCTGAATTGGTTTACTTTCTTTCTTATATAATCAGTTTTTTTTGTGTAGATTGTTTATATTCATCATGCTGTACTCCTTGTTGCTGTTCAATTTTGCCAATCATGATATTTGATGAATTGGATCGATTGCAATCTAGTGATTATCTATTTTTAACAAAAAATGATCAATTTAATGAGGTAAAAAAAATTGTTCATAGTTAATTAAATAAACATGAAATGGGATTTGTTTAGGTAATGGCATGTAAGACGGTTTGTTTTGTTTACTTTAATGGACTTAACTGTCTTTTTGAGGAATTTAAGTAAAAGGTTTTGATGAGATTTGCTCTAATATGATTGAATGTTGAGTGCATTCGATATAATGATGTGGGTTACTTACTCTGTGTGGTCTGAGTTGTTGATTTTACAATGATGTGCGACTCTTAGAGATCTAGACCTGATCTCTTTGTTGCTGGTGAGTTTGAAGTGCACCAAGCCCTACAGTAACATATCCTGCCGTTTAGGAAATTATAGTTTACCATAGTAGGAGTATGTGTTAAGACAGTCACACTCTGTGGCAGGCAATATCTATCAGACAAACTGTTTGGAAGCCACAAAAATCTATATCTGAGATCATTGGCTCATTTGTTTTCGCCAGTTAAGAAGAATTTTATTTAAAACTGATAAGTTGCACTCCACATCAAACCATGCCCATTTTAGATCAAACATTGTTCAACAAAATAATCATAAAAGCTCACAATCACGCAGCAGCAACAGCAATGTCCAATTAATTAAATATGCCATATTCAGTGCATCAGCTAGCTAGTTACATAAACCAACCCTTTCCTGATATTTTCCAATTTTTAAAATTCCAAACATTACATTTTTAGTTCCCTATTGAATAAAGGTGTGTGCTGCATTTGGCAGGAAATGTATGCCATTTGGTATTTGCTGATGGAATTTTAATCAATTTCCACATTCATTTTGTGTTTCGTCAATCCTTTCATTTTATTTCACAGATTTTTTGCTGATTAATAAAAAAAATTCAAAATCATCTACGAGTGACTGCCTAGCTCTCTTAATTAAATTATCATCATGTACGTCAAAAGTGAGCTAACATCATTATCGCATCGATGACTTAATTACTTGCTTCTTGTCATTCTTCAATGCAAAAGTGAAAACATTTCTGATGTTTGACATTTTTGAAATTTATAAACTTGCATCACCAGATCAACAACTTGAACTTGTATTTTCCCTTCAAATCGTTGCTGACATTCATTGCATTCATTGCCGTACTCTTAAGATAAATAACAATTTACCGTATCTATCTATCGCCTACATAATTTACATCTCTTACTACATTTTTTATAGCTATTTTTTTCTACAATTCATTTCATTTTATATATTTTTCCTCATTTCTTTCATTTCTATGGAAAGTGAAATTGTACAATCGCTTTGAGTGCTTCTATATTATTTCAAGGTTTAGTTCAAGTTTGTATTTTTTACCTGAAAAAGAAAAGGCATGAAGATACAGATTATATGCAATGGCAAACGCCAACAGCAGTAGCCGCAGCAATATAGCTCTTTATATTGAGCTTAGTTTATATTTATCGCAAGCGCATTCGATAATGAAGATTTGTTGTCAATTTAACGGTTTTTTGAATTTTAAAAGCGTAGTTTTACTCCCTTTTTGTCCCAGTTTGAATTATAATTTGCTGTTTTAATATAATTAATTGAGTGTTTTGATCTCATTTAAAAAATATCTTGTAGAAAAAAGTAGCAAGAGCACTTTAGAACAAGAAAACAAGCAAATATGAGTGAGTAATTACGGAAATTTTCAAAAATATGTAAAAGCCCATCGGATAATCGATTTGTTGTTGCTCTGATCAACCGACCTAGCTTCAACAAACAAATCTAATTGAATAATTCAGCCACAAAGACAAAATAAAGAATCAAAACCATTTAAAAATCCATAATTCAACTTCAAAAAAATTCATTCATTTCAATTAAATCATTTTTTATATAAATTTTTCTCAATTTCTCATTTCTATTTATTTTATTATTTTCTCTGCTCGGCATCGTTATAATAATTTTTCTTCCACAATTTTGTACGATTTGTGATATAAATTATAAATTAAATAAAGAAAAAGAAATGAAACTTTTTTGATATGCATTACCAAGAAAAATTAAAGCTAAAGTTGCAGTGACTGAATGGAGACGCAATAATAATAGAAAAAGCAATATTGAGAGAGGCTGGTTTGATATGAATCAGCATCAAGATGATGTTTTTTTTCAGAAGGAGAAGGCGGCAGTAGTTGAGGAGTTTCTGCAAAGTAGTTTTCACTTTCGTTGCAAATCACGTTTCTTTCTTTTCTTTCCTTTTTTAGCGGTTTTCCTGAGATGCTTGGGAAAAAGTTGTTTGTGTTGTTGTTTGGTCGGTATTTCTGGTTTCTGTTTTTGAAATCAATTGGATAAAATCTAACTTGTTTCGCATTTTATGGTTATTTCAGTTAATTTTGAATGTTTTCAACGGAATTTTAAAGTTTCATTTTGTTTGAAATTTATTTTAAAATGGCGAATATTTAAAACTTTAAAAATTGAATTTATTCAAAAATTAAGGCAATCTAAAGAATTCTTAAAATACTTATTAACATCTTGCCACCGTATAGATTAATTTAGCTCATATAATCACTTCGAAATCATAAGTTTAGACCGCTTTTGGCAAGAAAAACTTTTCGAGGTGGAAGAAAAAATTCAAATTTTAAGTGTTCGTTAAAATAAACAATCAAAACTGCGCTAATTATCACCTCCATTCCAGCAATCTCTCTTACTCATTTACCTCTGTATTTTATATTCACTAACCATTGCCATTTACCAGCAGAGTGCTCTCGAACCATAATAATACTTCCATGAATAAAGTTATGATTTCAATGTCGCTGATTACTTTTTCTGGTCATTCGACTTCCCTTTCTCGACTGTCTCCATCTCGCTTCCAATTTTTCTCAATTTCCCCCTAAAACACAAAAGAAAAAGCATGAAAAAATATGAAATGAATGGAAACGAGTTTTTCTCATGGAATAAAAGCCACAATGCGAACATACAAGATTCAGATAAACGTCATAGCATTCTCGCAATGGCTCGATGCCAAGCAAGTGATTTTGTTTTTGTTTTGGTCGACGGCAGAAAAGAAAAGTTTAAGTTCAATGTTCGATGCGAGTATGAAAATTATTTGAAAAATGAAGCATGAATGTTTACGTTTTGCCTTTAATGATCATGTGCAGGTTTTCTTCTCGCCAATGGAATTATGTAATCTGTATCTTCTTCAGTTATGTTGATCGTGGTCATTAAATTAATTTGCTTGTGTTTCATGTTCGTGATGATATTTGAGGAAGTTAAAGAAATTGCTTTGTTGAGGAAATGTCTTGCGGTGATGTGGATGGGAAGTTGATTTTGTTGATTCCAGGTATGGACGTATTCTAGATTGCTAGTTATTTATGTTTGAAAGTATGACTTGCTATTCACTGTAACTAATAGCTGTAAACTTTTATTACCAGACGATGGGAATCAATCCTTTACATTTATACAGCCTTTGCTCTAATCAGTAGACCATGATTAATCCATAATGTCACATAGGGATATTCGGTCTCATAAAGTCTCAACATTCAAGGCTCGATAAACCACTAAACTAATTCCAACAAATTACCAAAAGCTGCAATTTCATTTTCAAGATAACAAAAATTTCATTTATTAAGTTTCAAAGCCACAGGATCAAATTTTGGCTTAAAATATATTTTTTTATCAAAAATCCAGCCACAATCAATTTAAACTCCAGTATTTTGTAAGATCCAGCTACGATGTGATGAGATACGATCGTAAGCATCTGGGAATCCTCTTGCGCATGGGATATTCCATGATACAATACCAATAAGCTGTCCATTCAAAGTCAATGGGCCACCAGAGTCTCCTTGGCAAATTCCTTGTCCTGCTCTTGTGAATGTGCAAATTTTGTGGTCAAAAACGAAAGCAGCATTGGCTGTTGAATGTCTAGAACGGCAATCAGCATTTGTCAATGTTGTCTTTGTGAGTCTCTGAAGTGTATTTGGTGATGCACCTCCATCGACAGTAGTTCCACCCCAGCCTGAAACAACTGCTGATTGTCCACCTCCGATTGTTGCGCTGTTCATTGGAATTGCACGAGCATTAGTTGTGAATGCGATTGCAGTTGCTGTTTCAACGACTGAGACGTCATTGGCGATTGTGTTAGCCTATTATGAGTGGAAGAACTAGTTTAGGTACTGGATTGATACTTAAAGCAACAGATTACTTACATTATAACTTGGATGGTTGATGATTCTGTTACTGCGGTGTGTAACACCACCAGCATTCAAAGTTGCAGTTCCAACAACAACATTGATTGAGTTTCCAGCTCTACCAACGGTGCAATGAGCTGAGAAAAATTAATTGAATTTTTAATTAACTGCTCGGTATGGTAAACTTCCATTAATTAATTTCCCTTAAGGCAATACTTTTTAGGTCATTCTGATTTTATTTTTGCATACCTGCTGTAACAATCCATCTGTTGCTAATAATTGAACCACCGCAGAAGTGGAAGTTGGCTAATGTTCTCAATGAAACTTGCCATGGAATATCAGCAATGTTAGCATTTGTTCCTCCAACAATTCTGCTCTCAAAATCTTCACGCAGTGCTGTAAAATATTTATTTTATGTTTAGTCCTTAAGTTTGATGACACTTGTAGCTGAATGGAGCATTAAACTAAATTTCCCTTACGTGTAGCAAAAGCTAGAGCCACCAAAGCACAGAGTACGAATAATTGACGAATCATTTTTCAACCTGAATCACAAAACTGTCTCGAAATCATTCTAAGATTGGTGCTTTTATTACCAAATGCTATCAAATCTTTAAGAAGCTTATCTTATCATATCAATAGGATTTAGCTTTATGATTAGATTTCGGTTAGGACGTCATTTATTGGTGGTGTTGAAGATGATAAAAATTATCGATTCGTTTGTTTAGTTGCAGGGAATTCATTAAGATAAGGCTACGGGAATGATTTAAAAAATCAATGCCAAATTTATTGGATTTCGAAATATACATTAAGTATTTGAGCAAGTGAAACATTATTGTAGAAACTGCAATTTTAGCAACCAAATTATTGAACATAATACTCGATTATTGTCAAACTAAGTCCACGTTCTAAATTAAGTTCATAAATCCTCTTTTGTTGATAAATTTAGAAAAAAAATCCATTGACGAAGTTTTTTTTTCTATTTTAAGTCGCTCCTGATGATAACAAAGTTTGGCAAACTTTTATGAGATTTGATGTCTTTATCTTAAGCATGTCTACTCACAAAATAAATGAAACAAAGAAAAATTGCTTGATGGCATTAAGAATTTTGATTAAAAGTATGACCACGCGGAATTTTTAATTCTGACTTAAGTGTCGTTTGTTAAAGGCTTGAAAAGTGGAATTAATGGATGTCCGACTTTTGTTTTGTTTTAAACAAATTGGATATCATTAAGGAAATTATGATTTTAAATTTTAGAATATCCAAACCCTGATAATTGGCTATGATGCAAACATAGATGCATAAACTCTTACAAAAAACTATTAAAATTCTTATAGCAAAAACTGTCAAAAATCCGGGAAATTACCAGAAACTACCAAGAAAAAAAATTCCAAAAACCCAGTCAATATCCTAAAAAATTTCCAATGATTCATACCAATTAATTACATTTAAAATCAACAAACTTCCATGTTATCAAAACACAATCAAAAATCATAAACTTCAAAACAAAACAAATATCAATTAGTGCAATAAGCAATTAAATATAAAAGTATGTGTGTAGGACATTGATCGTTATTTTAAAAAGGGAAATTATTTCTCTTTCATTTTCTCCATTGTTATCGTTATCACGCAAAAATATTGCTTTCCTTACACCTTTCCATCTCCCTTCTCCAATTTTTAACTTCCCCCAAAAAATATAAATTAAACACTAAAGTACTGAAAAGTAAAGAAATGATAATGAGCTTGAACAAGTTTAATGTACTTAATGCTGCTAAATTTGCGCAATTATTCGTAGACTTTTTTAAATGCAATCAGCATAATGCATGCAGTATAAAGTTTCAGCGTTGATTATATGGGTTTGAAAAGTTTTATAAATCTTTTTAGGTTTTGAAGGGTCTGTCTAGATTGGAAGAACCAGTTATGGTCGTTGAGAGAAAGCCTTTGAATACAAAGAAGAACTTGTTAAGGCTGTAAAGAATCTGATAAGTTTGTCAAGCCAGCGAAAAATTTAAGGGGTCGTTCACTTATGACGTCCAAAATTAACGGTCATTTTTCAAAAAAGAACAAAGGATTTCCAGGAATTTCTATTGTTCTTTTCTTGCAGACCCCCCCCCCCCCCCCTGGAAGTCGTAAGTAAACGGCCTCTAATAAGTCATTAGAAAGCTTCTTAAGGTTTTGGAAAGTCCATCAAGAACTTAACGATTTTTTTAAGGCTGTGGAGAGTCTATTAATTCTATGGCGATGCCATCAAGGCTTTGACAATTATAGTTATAGCTCAAAGGAAACTATTAAGGCTGTGGATAGTTTATCAAACCTATAAAGAGTTTTGTAACGCTTCGAAGAATCTATAAAGGCTGCTAGCAAGGTTATAAGGAGTTTTCTAAGGCATTGAAGAGTCAATTCAGTATGTGAAGATTCATTTAAGGCTAAGAGTCTGTAAAGGCTATAAAGATCTATAAAGGCTCTCAGGAGTCTTTCGAACATCGAGGGAGTATATCTAGGATCTAGGAAGTTTATCAAGGATCTAGGAAGTCCATCAAAACTCTCAGGAATTTTGAAATATTTACTCTAATACTACTCCTTAAACACTCACTTCCAGTAGCTAATAACTCAAAAGTTTTACTTCAATTACGAAATTAATTATACTTTAAATCAATTCGCGTTCAATGAATTTGAGATATATGCCTAATACCAACAATAAAACCAAAGAAAACGAATGTTACTTAATTTTTATTTTCATTTCCATCTCTTTCTCTACTTTATTGCCTAATTGATCTTTTTCGTGCAAAAAACATAAAAAAAAAATCAACAGCACCTTAAACTTGAAAAACAAAAGCGATTTAATTTATTCGACTTTGTGGTTGTAGAGTTACGGTCATGCTTTCTTAATTTCACTTGTCAAAAAAAAAGTACAACATTTGAATGTGCAGACATCTCAATGGCTGAATTTTCTTCTTTTTAGCTGTTCATTGTTGAGAAGTGTAACTTGTCTTTGGATTTGCATGGAAAGAAAATTCATGCATTTGTAAGTTTTTTTTTTGGAGAATTTCTAGAAGAATGACTGTGAAGAAAAATGTACAATGGATTTTCTATTTTAGTCGTGGCTGCAGAAATCCGGGCACAAATTTTGTGTTTTATGAAAAATTATTGCCGGATGTTTTAGAAAATTTTCTAGCATTGAAATCAGACCGGAATTGGAGTTTCTATGGAAAGTTATGATAAATTTGTCTGAGAGGATTTCGGCACCGATTAAGATGACTGTCAAAATTTGCATAGAGAAATTTCATAGCCGAAAATTTTTTTGTAATGCATTTTGCTTATTTGAGCTCTTTTTTGGCACCATCAAGCATTGATAAACTCATCATAGCTTTTACGGACTTGCCAGACCTTTATCTGACTCATCAGAGTCTTGCCAGACCTTCATCTGACTCATCAGAGTCTTGCCAGACCTTCATCTGACTCATCAGAGTCCTGCCAGATGCATCAAAGACTTAATAGACTCAATTAAGCCTTGCTAGAATCATCAGAGCGTTATCAGACTCGTCAAAATCTTTTAAGACTCATCTGAGATTTGTAAGATTAGTCAGTGCCTCAACGGATCCTTCAGATTCAAGTCAGAACCGTCATAGCTTTATCAGACCATTCACACCCTTGCTAGATCATTCGAAAGCACAAATTTTATTGTTAATTAAAACAAAATTGACCACAAACTTTTCAAACTTAATATATAACGAAAAGCTTACCATCAACATCTTAATACCCAAAAATCAAATCCCTCATCATCTTCCGGCACTTAATCGCTTTAATCAATCGAAATGAGTAAACAAGAAAAAAGCTTCGATCATCTGATTATTTTGAATTAAATTTAACACTTTTTCTTTGCATTCGTTTAAATGAACGCTAAATGATTATTATGAGTATGCTGGCCATTACGATATTACGCAATAAATCTTCTTTTCTTCATTTAATAGCAATAATAATAATAAAAATAATGAGTTTAAAGAAAGAAAGAAAAACTTTCACGATAACTCGTTAATTCCATTTCATTTGTGCAGTAATATGTGGATTGTAATTGTGTGTGTGTGTTTTTGTATCGCTTTACGATTATCGGATATGAAATGTATTTTATAACATTTAATAAAATGCATGACAGTTGCGTGATTTAAAACTTTTTCTTCACTTTTTTTTGTTGCTAAATTTGCTGAGCAAAACAAAATTGTTGGGGACATTTTAAATTCAGGGGTGGCAAGAACGTGCATATTTATGGCAAATAGCTGTATTTTTTTTTGAAATTTTGAATTGATCTAGCTGTTATAGCTAGATTTGAGAAGAAACAGGGAAGAAATTCAGACTTACACGAGATACCAGATACCCCCTCCTTCACAGCTACGACACTGATACCTCTGAGGGTTCAAGATTTGGTCTCCTTGCCTTCGAACGAGTATCTAGTTATAAATAGTATGTTTGTCGTAACCAAAGGTGCAGAATTGATCAAAATTATCATAAATGTCAAAAAGTCAGTTGATTAGTGACACATCTTTAGTCTTGACAAAATCTTTTCTCTTCATATATCATTTTTTTCGGAGATATCGAAGCCTTACTTGATACAATGAGGAGAGTTCACTATAAACTGCCTTAGACAAAAGTAGACCCCAAATATTGGACCCAGAGAGTTCGTTATTCAAACTTGTGTTTATCAGACTCTAAAATCTATCTTCGGATACCAAATATGATAGTTCCTCATGCGACTCATCCTATATGCAATTCAAAGTCGACTCCAAGTTTTGACTAGATCAAGTTGCAACTCTGAATCCAAGCAATAATTCGAAAAAAATACCCGAATAGTACAAGTCGGTTAATCGAATAGAAATCAAGCGTCAAGCCGAAATGAATCTAGCACAATGCCGGCTTAAATTTAAATCCAGCACCATGCCAGAGTCACACCGGCTTCGCACTGGATTTCCAATCGATTAACCGATTTGTGCCATTCGGGATAAATAATTTGCAGTCACAATACATCTGAAAGATCCAAAATGACAAGGAAGAATTGCACAATTTTTTTCTGTAATTTTCTCCATGTGCATAATCTCCATTGTGACTTATTGATTATGAATTTTTTTACATTGTTGTGGCATGAAAATTATGCTCGTGAGTTTACATAAAAAATTATACACTAAATGTTCATGCTCTATGCTATTTAATGTCATAATCGAAAAATAAAGCTTCGCTGACATGAATTACAATCATTTATAAAAAAATATAATTTAAATTGTTCTTTGCTCAATTGTAATTGCGAATTGTAACAATATTGATGGTTTCATTTCTATGCATAAAATGTAACGAAAATTGGATGTTGAATAATGGATATGAGGATGTATGTTATTGTGTATTTTTGTAGCATAAATTGGAATAAAATAATCAAGCATTATTGTAATCAACATTTATGATTCAATATTTCGATGGTATGATTATCAAGCCTCAAGTCATTTGTTTGAAATTTGTTATTTTTGGCAAAATGATGTAAACTGGAATAATATTTTTGAATTAAATATTTTTTTTCTTAATTATGCAATCAAGAGTTGTTTCTATGTGTAACTTATGAGTTGCGTCTTTAAGAACTTTAAGAACTCAAGCTGTCGATAAAGTACTTTCCTGTACTTTCATTGCTAATCTACTGAACGTCATCATCAGAATTATAGTAGTTTTCGAACAAACTTCATGAGTGCACATATCTGATGAGGAATCAGATTTTTGGGATATCCCAATCGAAATACATTACAGCGGCAGTTGCTTGGCTTCTAATTATACTATCACCCGACTGCCGTATGGCAAACATTTCAATGAATCTTAATGTGTGCCGATTGGGTATGTGTGAGGGAATTTAATTAATCATATCCATAGCTAAAGTCATATTAGATTACAACAATCCAGGTTCAAAAGCTAGGCGATATGTTTATAGCTAAATACTTACAAATATCACTGAACTGTTTTAAATAATACAAACTTCCCAACCAACCTCCAAAAGTCTTTTAAGTCATTTTATTAATAATTAGTGCATTGATCGTCTTGCAGTACATGCTCTGGTTTCTGAGACCATCAAAGGTACTCTATTCTAGAATCCATGAGTTCATGGTGTCCCAGGTAGACCTAGAAGCATAATTGTTACCTATCAAAAGCAAAAATCTATCTTAGGCATTGTCTTTAGAAAGGTATTAAATTTACCTTTATCAAGGCTTGCAAAGCCAAAGGCCATAACTATCAATAGGCACTACTAAGAAAAAGGCAACATTTTTTACCTATGCCTAAGCACTATCTATCTGACAACTTTGCCTTTGACTCTGCACAAAGGATTGATTGTGCTTAATCTGAATCAACTATCGCTGGCCTAAACAGTTGTGTGAATTAAAAATCCACAGTCCCACAAAAATTTCCTAATAAAATATCACAATTTATACCAAGTTCCAAAAAAACTGTCCACCTCTTCTCACAAACAGTTCTCTAAAGCAGTTAAGTGCCTTGCTGGTCGAATAGGTAAGGCGCTTGGCTCATGTTTGGTATGGTAACTCGAAGGTCGTCGGTTCGAAACCAGCCATTTCCAAATTTGTTCTTTTTCAGAAGTTTAGATACTTCGACTGCTTAATGTACGAGATCAAGCCATAATTAGACATTTGGGCAACGTTGAATTAAGGAACGGGTCAGGAACTTGAAGTGTAGCGGGAGAAATAGGAATGAGAGCTACAAGATTACCTTATAATGGAATATTGTCAGAACGGACCTGAAATGTATCACGTCACGCCCACAGAAGATTGAAACGAGAGCCTGAATTTAATCGAAACCTAGATTTGGAGATTAGAAGCTTGATTCTACGTCACCCATAGTGATATGAAATGTATCACTAATCAATGTAAAAAGTAAAACATGTATAAATACTAATTCTTCCGGACGGTAACGTCGACAAATAAATAATAATAAACCTTAACAATTGCAGCATTTATTATTGAATTAAAAAATTTAAACATCCCAAAATAAAGTCATCACAAAATTTCTTTTTTCACTGACTGAATGAGATCACAGATCTTTTATAATGTACTTATCACCCGTTTTCACTTTCTCAATCAACAAAAAAAAGAGATGAAATCACAAACAAACAATTTGCAACATCAACCCACGCAATATTGCAGCTGAATTATTTGTTGGAACTGAAATTTGAAATTTGAATGTAAGCTTCTAAGTTTTGAAAGCTAATGCGCATGATTAATGAGCTTTAAAGCTTTAAAATTGCTTACGTTTTGTGGTTACGTAAAAAAGATCTGGAAATGAGCTTTTACGGTTATGAAAATTAACGACAAAACAATTTAAAATCAATTCAATTGTGCCATAAAATTATTAAAATCCTGTCGTTCTGCCACCCCAAAAATTCACATCCTATAAAATTCAATATCTCCAGATAATTGACATTTTGATGCTCATAACAAATTTATTTTATAACATATTAATTTATATGGTGTGAATTCTAACGCATGACATGAATTGATAATGAGGCAATCAAAGTGAGTCTGAAAACTGTCGATTGAGCATAAACTAGCCAATTTATTGGCATATCGATTACTTCTCTTTCTCCAAACATTTCAAAAATTTCTCAAATTTCACTTCAGTATCGAATTAAAAGCCAAGAAGTGACCGTCGATGCTTTATAAAAATTTATTTTGATAATAAATTCCACGTTCTAGTTGATTGGTCATCAAATAAATCATGAAAATACCACAGAGAAGCATAGAAATTTTCTTATTTGTCGGTAAGCGAAGCTGTTCCCATTTTTATAGAGTTTCGTCGAATTTGTGTCACAAAATAATTTAAGTCGTGGTACTGTTATGTGCTAATTGGTGCTAATGCATTTGTTGCATGCCAGAAAATTATTAATATTGAAGTTATGAATTAATTGGGTGCTGAAAAAATAATTTTCGTACATTTGGATTAAAAGAGTGCTAATAAGTTTTAAACCGTCAAATTTTATTTGAAATTTCTCTTAAGAATCTTTCAAAAATATCTTCTAACGGTCAAAAATATTTGAAATTTAACGAATTTTCATGAACTTTACTATAATTGTCATTTATTAAGCTAATAACATCCATTTTCAAATCTTATTCCAGTTCTTAATTTCAATCTCACACCAATTTCCTCCCAACAAATCCCAACAACGGAAGAAACTGACGCTTTTTTCATCGGACCATGTGCGTGGGTGTTGAGTAATAGAAAATGTCCAGATGCTGATGTCAAATTTTATTTATATACAAGATCTAATGCTGACGATAGACAATTGATTCATGTTGAAGACTGCTGGGACAATTCCAATATTTCGACGTCATTTTATAATCCACGTTATCCTGTTAAGGTCATTATTCATGGTGAGTTTGGAATTAATCCAATTTTAGTTTGTTCTACTGGAGGAAAAGTTCATCAGATTTCATCTGAGTTGGCAAATTTTCATGCTTTGTTCTTATATTTTTCCTTGTATAAACATTTACAAACAAAACATCCAACAGCAAAAAATGTAGAAACAACATTCAAATCCTTTCCTTTGTTCTGATTCACTAGGTTACAACTCCGACATGATGTTGGCTCCATTAATAGATGCAAAGAATGAATATTTACAGCGAGGTGATTACAACTTGTTCTTTGTTGATTGGTCTACTCTTGCTCCGGGGCCTTGTAAGTATAGCAGCAGAAAAACAGAGAAAATAAGTCAGTTGCCTGTAAAAAGATTACATTGGAAGCAGTGCTATCGGCTGAATGACTGGTAAAAAATATTATGCTATGCAGAGTTGCGAAACAGGTCACCTGTGACAGGTGAGAACCTTTTAATTGTAGGGTTCTCACCTGTCACAGGTGCCTGTTTCGCAGCTCTGATGCTTTGACATGAAGCACAAACAAATCCTTGAGCCTATGAAATTGTTAACAATTTTGGATTTTGGCACCAAAATTCATATTAATATCTATTCCTTACTTCACATGGCTTAGCATTTACTAAACTCCTTCCTGCTCATCCAATAAAAAATTTCCTTCTGTATATTTAGCGACATTATCTAACAAATTGCAGTAGGAAGAAGATTAATGAGCATAAATCCAGAACTATAATCAATCTTTGTTGTTTACTATCAAATTGTCGAATCTATAGAACTATTTATATGCTATAATTGAGCACATTTCATTCAAATTCATTTTCCTGCTTCTGCGTCTCTGCTAACAATGCATCAGGTGCAGACTGTAAAATTATTCAGCAATAAATATTGCAATTCATTCCTGCAAACAATTACAATTTAATTGAATTTCCTATCAATTAATCATCAACTTCCCCGTAGCATGATTCTCAATGCTCAATAATTTTTCATCTCATTTCAGGCTATCCATCAGCAGTTCACAATACACGTCATGTCGGTGTTTGTGTTGCACAATTAATCTCACGTATTAGAGAGACTGGAAATGAAGACATTCATCTTGTTGGATTTTCACTCGGTGCACACGTCTGCAATTATGCGTCGACGACACTAAGAAATGACAATTATACAATACCAAGAATCACCGGATTAGGTATAAGCTTTAATTTCCGGATTCCTCTTGCTTATCAAATTGTTTTTCTCTTCCTTCTTAGATCCCGCAATGCCATTATTTGTTACGTCTGATCTTGACAGTAAACTTGACGCATCTGATGCTGATTTTGTGGGTATGTCTCAGATGTGTCTGTAAATAATATTCAGGAGGGTCAAAGTTTTTTTTGATTGATTAGTTTGTTTTTGGAGCTTATTATGGCTTTTCGGGTTGCGTATGGATATTTATGGTTATTTTGTGTGATTGGTCAAGAGCATGAGTCATAAAATCAATGTTCAGTATCAGAGTTGTTAATGTAGATGTGTTTAGGAAGCTGTGGCGAATCTAGATGCAAATATGACTTGTCATAAACATATTTTCGAGCCTGTCATAGATATCAACCCTGTTCATCATCGCAATCTAATGCCAATCTTTATATCACTCAAAAAAACTTAAATCACATTGAATTTCCAACCCATTTCTCATTTCCACAATTTCAGATGTCCTTCACACAAATGCTCTAGTTCAAGGTCAAATAGAGCGTTGCGGTCATGTTGATTTCTACCTTAACGGAGGTGTTCTTCAGCCTGGATGCTCAGGTTACGGAACAAATCCATTTCAATGTAGCCAGTAAGTCAATTATGCTCGGTCAAGCGGAAGTAATTTGTTGCCAACACAATCTTTCTTATTTTTTATTTCTAGTCATAGAGCACCGGATTATTTTGCTGAATCGATACAATCAGTTGTGGGTAGGTATGAGGATAAATTTATGTTAATTTAAATAAAAAGTAAGAAGGAAGTCTTTTCCATTACATAAACAACATTGCAAAAAATAAAATAAAGGTTTCTGGGGATGGAAATGCCAAAGTTATTTTTATTATCTCCTTGGCATGTGCACACCAAAGAGTGAATCACAGACACAAGCCGGTGAAGATTGCCGTTCATCGTCAAGAGGATTATATTTCATAAATACCAATGCAGCATCACCATTTGCCGTAGGCAGACTTACAGAATCTGAGAACAGTTTCAAAGCTCATCAGCAACAGCGACAGAATCCACAGCAAATTACTGTGAATCCAATTTTACATGCTGATCCGTTTCAAAGAGAAATTGATATTTTTGGTAAATTAGAAGGGAATTTTAATAATCTTCTATATTCGCAAGACGACGAGGATTCTAATGACGTTTACTTTACCAATCATGGATCTAATCTTATGACACACAACTTCATCAATAGACTTCGACACAAAAATGTTGATGACAGTGAAATTTTATCAACATTTAATGACAGAATAAATAGAAAGATTAAAAAGCAATCAAAACCACGACCTAACTCAAGGTATGCAACATCGTCACGCAATGATGACAGTCATAATGAAATTCCTCATAGCACATAAGCGGCACAGAAGAAAGACAGAGAGACATAAAATTTTTTGAATGAATGCTTAACAAAGCATCATTATTAATAGCATGTAAAGTTTAATGACAGCCAGTTGAATGAACATTTTAAAACTATGAGCTCTTTAGCTGTAACTGAAAATTGCATGCTATAAATCATTGCTATGTTAAATGGAGATATATATTTAATAATCGTCACTTGTGCTACAAACTTTATGTGTGCGTTTCATTTATTTGCTTAGTTTTTACAAACAATGTTAGCATTAATTTATATGACAAATGAATTTTTTTATGTGTTCAGTTTGAATAAAAGTTTTACTTTAATTTATTAAATTTGGATTTTATGATATTTGTAGGTATTATTGGCAGGTAGCATCATTGCTTTGTGAATATTGATATTTATAAGTACCAAAAGGATGGTTTCAAAATTTCTTATGTTGGAAATCTTAGTCTGAATTTAAGTCAAGCTATTAATCTTTGAAGTCTAAGTCGGAGAACTCTCAAATCTTGTTGCTATAATCACAATAAGGGTTGCTGTCTTAGGAATGATAATAATCGAGTAGGTGTCTTTGTAAAAGTGCTTATTATTTAAATTGCAGTGCCTCTAGCTCAAAAGAACAGATCTTAGCAAAGAGAAAACTAGCTACCTAAACCCATCCATTGCATACGCATTGTTTGGCTAGGTTCTAACTTTGTGATAGCTATAGTGATAGCTATAATAGGATTCATCCCTATAAAATACTCCAAAAAAACAGAAATAAAATCAAATCTTTCCAAAACTCAGCAGTTTGTACTAAAGGTTACCAAAATCAGGCACAAACTTGCATAATTTTCAAAACTTTTTCCAAAAAATGGTCCACCCTAGACAAAACATGGATTATGTCCCTCAAAATCGAAGAATTAAGAGATGTGATATGGGAACGATATATGCAATAAGTCGAGACGCATCCATAGAGATACTATGGATCCTCGATTTGAGTAGATTCGATTTGAATAGGATTTTTCTGGAACCAAACACCTGCTCAAATCGAGTATATAAAATGGTATCACACAGCTAAGAAGTACCTGATATGATGTCATCTTTGAAAAAAAGCTGAAAATATGAAAAGGAAAGTTATAGCTAATTTAATAACCTTAAAAATCATAGCTGGACATTCCAATAAGCTACAAAAAAGAGATATGCTCACTTTGAAACCACAGCAAATGCGTTTCCATCTACCAAACCTTCCATACTTTCCATCAAACAGTCAACGGCGCTATAATTAAGCAATTATAATTCTCAGATATAGCTGTGTTTATCATTTTTAATTACATTATCAATTAATTTCTCAATTTTGTCAGTTTGAAGAACAGAAATCATGTGCAAGTTTGTTGTCTCACACGTCTGTACAAATGGAAAACTTCTTTATAATCCATTAAGCACAAACAAAGCTCAATCAGATAAACATACAAAGAGGGTTTTAAATCTGTATTAAATGATGAGCAGACAAGCATGATGGAAAAGTAAAAGTCAATATTTAAAGTATTTTGTGATGTCAATGAACTTGAAGCACAATTGTTTGATTTTCGGATGAAGTATGATGTAGATTGAAAACTTAGGGAACTGAATTTGATATTAGGAATAAACTAAGAACTTTATCACAGAAACCTAGTCACTAGCACTAGCTCCAATAGATACAATGAAAGTATTAATAATGAAGCTAGTCTTAAATCATGTAAACTGTCCTTAATTATAGTTCCTTAAGTTCATTAAACAAAAAATTATGACTTTGTGGCCAAAATATTCACAAATCACTTAATCATGAAGCACACAAAGCTAACGAGCAATCAATTAACTTCCACAAAAAAAAAATTAACAAAGTCGTGAAAAATTACCAAAGATTCACAACTTCCTGGTTCTAAACTTTTATGCTTAATTCTTCAAATTATTTAAATATTTACAGCGTCACAATCTGTTTATTCTTCAAAAGATAATGAACAACAAAGCTAATTAAGTTGAATGGATTCGCAACAACACTTAGTAAGTTTTGAAATAAACAAAAAAGTTCTTATTTGTAATGCACATGATGCCTGAATCATCCATTATTAATAAGTCTTGATGCTTATGAAACTTTTTAAGAAAGAAAATTTTTGTTTTTCATTGATAAACATAATGGGAGAAGGTAGGCAATGGAAGTAAATATTTTGAGATTTACTAAAAAGGTTTGGAAATAAGATTACGGAAATGGCATTAGTGGGAAGATTTGAAGGAGTAAGATGATAATTTTGTTTTTCATGAGCATAGATTTTGTTATTTTTATGTTTGTTGTACTTTTAACTTTGTTTTCTGGATGTAATGACGATGGAAATGTAAGACATGGAAACAACAGGCTGAAGGCACTTCTATGTAATGTGATTTCAAACTTACTTCAAAGTCTCTAGGATCGAACTCAATTTAGAATTGCCTACATAAGTTTTAATTGAAAATTGATGACTAGTAATCAAGAATTGATGCTTGAACTGAGGTTTTTGCCGATTTCAGCTCTGAAAAAGCGGGACAGACTAATTTTTCAAGCATTTTTCAGCAAAAATAGGTTTGAAAAAGCGGGATATTAAGGATTTTAAGTGATAATTTGTTCCAAAAATCGGGACTGTCCCACTCAAAAGTGCGCAGTTGGACAGCCTAACCATAAGCAAACATACCCTGGATATTGGCAATTAAATTCATTATAATACCCACAATTACGACAATTTATTTTAAAACGTTTAACAAACAACAAATATTGCCAGACAAAAAGTCTCGCGTGTTCAACCGTAGTCACTATAATAGAAACAATGCGCTTAATTGAAATAATGAACGTGAAAAATGTAAACAAATAATGGAAGCGAAGAGATAAAGAAAATTTATGTTATTGACATGAACAATGTCTATAGCACATTTTGAAAAGTCAAATTTTGTTGCTATTTTTATCTTTTTTTTCGCGAATTGAATGATTTTAAAAAATGTATCCGCAGGCAAGGACTGCGAAAAATTTCAAGCAGAATTGAATGATGTTTAATTTTCATGTTGGTCATGACATAACCTTGGATTATTGTTTTGTGGCTTTAAAAACTACTTGAATTTCCAAATTTTATTTTTATTTTTATAGAAAAAGTTCAAGGTTCATTTTACGTTTCAAATTTTACGATACCGTTAAGTTTCATATTTTACAAAACCGTTAAGTTTCAAATTATACAAAACCATTTAATGATAAAGAATGCTAATTTAGATATAAAATCGATATTTTTTTTGAAAATGGCCTACTATGATCAAAACCAAAAATGCTTTAAATTGCATTTTAAAACATATCTAGGTATTATAAATGATAAAGAATGCTAATATAGATATAAAATCGATATTTTTTTGAAAATAGCCTACTATGATCAAAACCAAAAATGCTTTAAATTGCATTTTAAAACATATCTAGGTATTATAAATGATAAAGAATGCTAATATAGATATAAAATCGATATTTTTTTTGAAAATGGCCTACTATGATCAAAACCAAAAATGCTTTAAATTGCATTTTAAAACATATCTAGGTATTATAAATGATAAAGAATGCTAATTTGATATAAAATCGATATTTTTTTTGAAAATAGCCTACTATGATCAAAACCAAAAATACTTTAAATTGCATTTTAAAACATATCTAGGTATTATAAATGATAAAGAATGCTAATTTGATATAAAATCGATATTTTTTTGAAAATAGCCTACTATGATCAAAACCAAAAATGCTTTAAATTGCATTTTAAAACATATCTAGGTATTATAAATGATAAAGAATGCTAATATAGATATAAAATCGATATTTTTTTTGAAAATGGCCTACTATGATCAAAACCAAAAATGCTTTAAATTGCATTTTAAAACATATCTAGGTATTATAAATGATAAAGAATGCTAATTTGATATAAAATCGATATTTTTTTTGAAAATAGCCTACTATGATCAAAACCAAAAATGCTTTATATTGCATTTTAAAACATATCTAGGTATTATAAATGATAAAGAATACTAATATTGACATAAAATCGATATTTTTTTGAAAATAGCCTACTATGATCAAAACCAAAAATGCTTTAAATTGCATTTTAAAACATATCTAGGTATTATAAATGATAAAGAATGCTAATATAGATATAAAATCGATATTTTTTTTGAAAATAGCCTACTATGATCAAAACCAAAAATGCTTTAAATTGCATTTTAAAACATATCTAGGTATTATAAATGATAAAGAATACTAATATAGACATAAAATAGATATTTTTTTGAAAATAGCCTACTATGATCAAAACCAAAAATGCTTTAAATTGCATTTTAAAACATATCTAGGTATTATAAATGATAAAGAATGCTAATATAGATATAAAATCGATATTTTTTTTGAAAATAGCCTACTATGATCAAAACCAAAAATGCTTTAAATTGCATTTTAAAACATATCTAGGTATTATAAATGATATAGAATGCAAATATAGATATAAAATCGATATTTTTTTGAAAGTAGCCTACTATGATCAAAACCAAAAATGCTTTAAATTGCATTTTAAAACATATCTAGGTATTATAAATGATAAATTCAAATTTAACAAAATCATTAAGATTCAAATTTCACAAAACCGTTAAGTTTCAAATTTTACAAAACTGTTAAAATTCAAATTATACAAAACCGTAAAATATTGAAATGCATGCAAACTCAAACTTCTTCAAGCATAAAATGCGTCTAATCAGTCATCCAGTCAATGACCTTTTCGACTTACATTTTAAATTGTTTTATTATTTTTTTTTCTAAATAGGGTAAATGACCTTGAAATTTGCGCAAAGTCACACATGAAATTTTCATTTGCTTCAAGCTCTTCGGAGGATTGAAATTGAGCCCTACTAACGATCTTGAAATGCAGGATATCGTTGATATTTTTGTTTTTCTATGGATATAGAAAGCTCTGCTGTGTCAATGCCAAGAAATTTGACTTTCAAGTTTGAACTTTGAAATTTGCGCAGAAAACTTTGAAATTTGCGCAAAAAAACCTTGAAATTTGCGCACTTTTTTGACAGCAATCATTGAATCTTGGAAATAATATTGTTGAAAACATATCCAATTTTAATATACATTAATCAAAATATAAGGGAAATGATGATGTTTATTACCAAACTAGGCTATCCGGAGGCGCCCGTGGCGCCTCTTATCAGGGTTAAAATTTGATTACTATTATGTAAATATCTGTAAGACGCAAATAACCATAATGTTTTTAAGGTCAATTCTACCACAGAACTTTACATGGCCTCACAACCCCCCTCGAACTCGGACTTCCTTAATCCCACAAAAACTTTATAAATGGCTTCACAAAACTTCACATGGCTTCACAAACCCCTTCAAACTCGGACCCCCTTAATTCCACAAAAATTTTATAAATGGCTTCACAAAATGTTATATGGCTTCACAAAATATTCCTGACACCAAACTTTTCAGCACTACACGGCGTCACAAACCCCCTCAAATTCGGACCCACCTGACACCCACATTGCCCCCCCCCCCACCTTGTCAACACCCCCCCAAACTGACACCCACCTTGTCAGTACTCCTCAAATCATTGGCTTCACACGGCTTCACAAAATATACCTGAGTACCCCTTGCCACCATCCCCCACCTGACACTCACCCAACACCTGACACCCACACCCACCTGATAACCACCTTGTCAACAATCCTTAAATTTTTATCTTCACACGGCTTCACAAACGTCTTCACATAGCTTCCGTTCCAGAGTCAGTGAATCAGTGAGTTGGGCTTTTATATATTAGAGATTATATGATTAGATTTAGTTTCGTGAAAATCCGTGAAAGCTTCAATGTAATTCCCATAGTGATATGAAATGTATCACTAATCAATGTAAAAAGTAAAAACATGTATAAATACTAATTCTTCCGGACGGTAACGTCGACAAATAAATAATAATAATAATAATAATGTTCAACATGACGATCTTAGATGTATTAGGAGTAAATCCAGCGTGGAAAAAAAACACTAGATAAATGGTTTCAAAATAGTTCAAAAGCACATAATAAATTTAAAAAGGGACAAGCAAAATGATGTATCCATAGTAATTCAATTTTAAATTTTTTATTCAATCTAAAAATACTCTGATTTAAGCACATAAAGTAGTATAAAGTCTTAAAGCTATGTTCATTTTATTGCCTTTTTTGGCCGGTATCTATGATATTTCACTGCGCAAATTTTAAAATTTTTCATAAAATTTGCGCAAATTTCAAGGTTCAAAAACAAGCCATTTTAAAAATGAATTTTAAAGCAGTTCCAGGTATCATTTTAAATTGGAACCATTTGAAAAATTTTAAGCAATGTCAGATCTACATTTTCCGATACCAAAATTTAATCTATACCAATGCATGCATCTCAAAATCAAAATGTAAAGAATTTTAAGTTTTGTATGGGAGTTAAAAATTAAATATATTAAGCTTTCTGGTGCCTTAAGACCACTAAAAATTATGAAAAAAAATCTGTGCTTGTGTTCTGCAGACATTTCCCATTGATCGTCTGAACAGAAGTGCAATTTTGAGATATAATTTTTAAATTTTCGTTTTCATACGAGTGCGCAAATTTCAAGGTTGCGCAAATTTCAAAGTCATTTACCCTATTTATTAAAACATGCCTTACGATACGGAAATAACATTTTATATTCCTCAATGCAAAAAGAGAACTTGAAAGGTGAAAAAAAAAATAATGTTTTTTAATTATTTTTACATGTTTGCTTTCTTGTGCATAGAATAAATTTTTATCGCAAAATTTATGATAAACTAAAAACTATTGTTCAATTTTTTACTAGAAAGAAAATATAAATTTTTTACTGAATGAATTTTATGAAACAGTTTAGAGTCGTAAGTTAACAGTTATAGAACAATAATTGGAGTAATGGAGTTCATCAGTCTAGAGGGAATATTATTGGGACAAATATTTATTACTTATGGTAAGTTGCTACATTGGTACTCTTTATTGACTAGATTAGTGTCTTTTGAACTACATTAATATCAATCAAGGATTTGTAGCTAGTCACAGCTTGATTCATTAGTTGCATATTCTTGATATCATTGCTGTGGACCCGTATCAAGCAGCTAGATGAGCTATGAAATGCAGGAGATGTATATATTAAGAATTGAACCCACACTAGCAAAAATACAAGCCTGATTTCTTTCATCAGCGATGCTGATCCTTTTAGTTAATCAGTCACTAGCTTCTAAGCTTATTTACTTTAGCATAAACTTCCTTTTTGGGAATAAAACCTTAGATTTCTGCATTGCTGTCATCCTGGGGCGTAGCTTGAATTTGAAGAGGGGTGGGTGGGGGGGGGGGTTGACAAAAAAAAAATATGTGGGAAATTAAGAAGAAAGGGGGGGGGGGGGATTTTTATTATTTTTTCATAAAACTCCTAGCAAGAAATTTCAGCAGAAATTTCTGTTGACATCGAGGGATTGGTCCCCCAATCTAAATTTTCCAATAAATTTTAAGCAATTCTTCAACCATAAAAAAAGCAATGTCACAGCTTACAAGCACTCAACTTTAACATTTCATTCAACGTTTTCTTTCTCCTCCTTAATTCTAAAATTAATGTGCTTTTTTTCATGTGCGCATCAGAAACATTTCCCAGCACGGATAAGAATGAATGAACAAAAGAGAAAACTGTCACATGCGACGATGATAAAGTTCATGACATTGACATATATTTTTGGAACTGAACAGAAAATAAATATGCGACCGTGAAATTCTTATTTTCAAGTATTTAGATGAATTTTTAATAATTTTTTGATGGTGCTTTATGGCATGTGAAATGTTAATAATTGTTGTCAAAACATAATAAAATGCTTCAAAGAATTTTTAAAGTTCTAACAGAAATGAGCTCGGTTGCTTTTAATCTTTTGTGTCGGATGGCTGTGCTTGGAAAAGTGCCAGCACTTTATTGTAATTTCTTGTCATAATAATATTTTTAATTTGCTGTTTGGTTTGTAAGGAGATCATTTTACTTTCCAAACCAATGGTTCTCAATACTTTCGAGCGCGACACACTAAACCAGTGGACTAAATTAAGTCATTTTTGCATCAACTGTTCATGTGCTCTTGTATTATACTTTCATAAACATGATTACAGTTCATTTCACTGAGCATAATTTAAGGAGCAGTGCTTTAAAACCAGAGCATCCAAAAAAATATCACTAGAACTTGTGCATCCAGAACATAAAGATTCATTTGAGCATTCACATCCTTTTATTCACATTACTGTTCTCTGTAAATTCCAGCAAATTGCTTCAATGTTGCGGATATGCAATTCATTGATCCAAATTATGGACGAACGTGGATGTTTATTCCAGATGAAAGTGGAAATCCAAACTTCGTGAATTTGGTTAAACCAAGATCAAGCACAAGACAGGAAGTGATGTTTGATGATCCAGACGAGAAAATCTCATTTTGGCTTTATAATAAGTAAGTTTTATTCCTTGGTTCTTGAAGATTTAAAATTTCCAAGTTACTTGATGTAGCAACAAGCTTTGATGCATGATTTAAGAGCCTCTTAAGCCTAGAACTTGAACCTCATAAAACTTTAATACATATTAAACTTCCAGAGACAACCCAACCGAGCCTCTTCTCCTAAAAGTTACAGGAAATGGACACTTGGAAGATTTCGCACTGCACAAAGCTTACGATGGCAGCAAGCCAACAAAATTCATTATCCATGGATGGAAAAATAAGTAGAACTTAAATTAGGTCCTAAATTGACCATAAAAATGTAATTTTTTCTCTCATCCCATGTCCACGTAGTCTCAATAATGACATCATACAAGTGATTAAGGATGCTTATTTGAAGGAGGATTTGGACTACAATATTGTTGGTGTTGACTGGAGTGAAATGGCTGGTGATAATAATTATCTTAGATCTGCTTCAGCTACGAAGGATGTTGGACGAAATGTTGCATGTGTCATTAATCACATGGTGGTCAACAATGGTGCTGATTTGAAGAATTTTCATGTCATTGGACATAGCCTTGGAGCTCATACGTAAGAATTGTTATGGAGTTGATGTTTTTGAGAATTTTAAATTATTATTTTCAGCGCTGGATATGCTGGATCATTTGTTAAGTCATTGAGGAAGGATAAAGTCGATAGGATTACTGGATTAGGTAGCTGACAGTTGCTTTGTCTGTGAATTTTGAGCTAAATTTATTGATATTTTACAGATCCAGCATACCCAGCTGTAAGTAAGGATATTTTTTTCATTTTATTAGGAAGTGACTTGATTTGAAGCTGTCACATTTCAGTTCCATGACGCCTCAAAAACTTCTGATGTATTAGATCCTAGTGATGCTGATTTCGTCGGTAAGTTCCAACCAGTTCTCAAAATTATCCATTATTATTACTTCCACAATATTCAATACAGACGTTATCCACACATGCTCGGGGATACTCGGTCACAATGCAAATCTAGGTCATGCTGATTTCTATCCAAACGGAGGAAAAGCTATGCAGCCAGGATGTGATATTCGCTCAGACGTGTTTGGTGCATGTTCACATGGAAGGTCTTATCGATATTTTGCTGAGAGCATTACTACAAAAAATGGATTTATGTCGATGGAATGTGGATCGTGGGATGATTACAGCAGAAAGATTTGCAACGAAGATCCAATTCCCATGGGCGACTCTATTCCTCGAACAGCCAATGGTACTTATTTTTTGGAAACTGCATCTGGTCCAGAATTTGCTAAATATACGAAAATATTTTATTAAGGAAATTTGTGATATTTGTTGAAGATGGAAGGCAATAAAGTTTTATAAGAAGCAAATTAAATGATTTTGGAATTATATAATTGGCACTGACTTTCAGAATGATTACGTGAGTAAAGCCAGGGAGCTTAATCTTCCATTAGCTTAATAATGAAGAAGGGATGCATCAAAGTTCAATCATATTCCAACATGGTACGACGAGCTAGAAGCACTACGATCTTAATTGAATGAATTTTTTTGGAGAAAAATAAAACAACTTTTGCAAAGCTAAACTTTGCTACGCTAATGACCTTACGACTATGTTAAATCTAATCAAACCACAAAAATTTAATCCGTTCTTATTAAATAATCTGTAAAAATTCAATTACAGCGTATGAACTTGAATATTAAAGAAATCTGAAATTTTAAAATTAGTTTGAAATTTTAAGATAACTTGAAAAGAGCTTTTAGGGATCAAAAATGAATTTGCCATTGCTAATTAAGATTATTCTTTTGAACATGATGATTTATTATGGTAAGTGCTCCCCCTCCTCCCTTACCACGTGATTTTTTCGTAACTAGATTTATTTCCAGTTCCAGTTCAAAGTAGCAAAGTAAGTAATCAAGAGATAATAAAAGCAAAGCTTGATCCAAATTATAAAAAGACATGGATGTTTATGCCTGATGATAAAGGAATTCCACACCAAATAATTTTGACTCCTATAAATGACGACTTTATGTTAATTCACAACAAACTGTTCAGTTCTACAAATGACAAGGCGACATTTTGGCTGTACACAAAGTAAGTCTAGTTTTGGGTTTTGTTCTGTATCAGCAGGGACTTAAATTGATCCAGGCTTCGCTTTATGTACATAACAATCCCATTTTAATTTTCAGAAACAGCAAGAGATCTCCTATTCAACTTAAGACATCAGGAAAAGACAATATTAATAATTTTCAGTTTACCAATAAATTTGATGGCAACAAACCCACTAAAATCATCATTCATGGCTGGAGAGATAAGTATTAGAACCACCAAAATATTCCCTAAAAATTCATTTTCTCTCTTTTTCAATATCCACGTAACCGCAATAGTGATTCTGTTCAGGAAGTAAAGAGTGCATACTTAGAGACAGCTGGAAAAGATTACAATGTTATTGCAGTGGATTGGGAAGAATCAGCAAGAGACATATTATATTTTAATGCTGCGTATGCGACCAAGACTGTTGGTAAATATGTCGCTAATGTCATCAATCATATGAGTGCTAAGCACGGAGTTAATTTGAAGGATGTTCACATCATCGGACATAGTTTGGGAGCTCATGTGTAATTTACAAGTTTAATAAAAGTATTAAGGTTAAAAACTTTAATTTTTCAGAGCTGGTGTTGCTGGATCTGTATTTCAATTGTTGTCAGGGAAGAAGGTTGGAAGAATTACTGGAACTGGTAAGTTTTTGATCTATTCCCAAAACTTATTGTAATAACTTTAATTTCTTAGATCCAGCTTATCCACTTGTAAGTTAAAATCTGCTTCATTTGAGCTTAATAAATTATTTTCAAATTTTAAGTTTGAGGATATATCAGATAAAAATTCAATACTAGATTCATCTGATGCTGACTTTGTAGGCAAGCTTATCAAGTCATTAAAAATTAATTCACAATATTAATAAATCATTTAACATCACCAGATGTCATTCATACATGCGCAGGTTTGCTTGGGCATAAAAAAAATTTAGGTCATGCTGACTTTTATCCAAACGGTGGAGAGCAAGTTCAACCTGGATGTGATCTCTTAATAAATGATTTAATTGGAACATGTTCGCATGAAAAGTCATTTAAATATTTTATAGCGACTATAACTAGTCCGAACAAGTACATGGCACAACAGTGTTCATCGTGGAAAAACTTTAAGAGAAATGGATGTTCTGCAGCAAAAATTCCAATGGGCGATGCTGTGCCTCAAAATGCTAGGGGTGAATATTTCTTGAAAACTGATGGTTGGGATGTCAATGATGATGATGATGACGAAAGTGAGGAAAGTGAGGAAAGTGAGGAAAGTGAGGAGAGCTATGGCTATTAAGAACATAGATATGGCATAATTATGGCTATGATGAATAAATTTGAATTTTAAAATCTAAATCAATTGCTCGTGTATAGAACTTATTAACCTCCTTAGAAAAGTTAAAACCAATTGTATTTTAATTGAGCCCATTTTTTGACAGGGCTTACCGATTTTCAATTCTTGAAACAACGTTACTGCCTCCAAAAACCTCCTTTCCCAGTCGAGCTCTAGTAAACCATATCGAAAATGTAATAATTGATCATCATCGCTAATTCCGTAAATTTAAAATTTCAACATTATTTTGTTACTTAAAATCCATTTGAAGTTAGAGAACAAAACAATGGGCTGGACGTACTTAATGAGTATGTTGATTATTTTCATCTTTCCTAATCATGGTAAGCCTCATTTCAAAAAACATGAAAATATCTCTTGATCGAAACTTACTTTAGTTCAGTGCTCCTATGTGGATAAGATTATGAAAGCTTCAACGGATCAAAACTATCATAAAACATGGATGTATATGCCCGATGATGAAGGAGCACTACATGAAATAAGTTTGAACTACACTTTTGACAATTTAAGAGCAGTTAAAAAACTATATGAAGATACAATTCACATAGCTCGATTTTGGTTGTTCACGGAGTAAGTAAAATCAAAGTCAGTGGCGTAGCTTGAAATTCGATTAAGGGATGAAAATGTTTTTAATTAAGATATGACGCTAATTCAAATCAAGTTTCTTTTTACATTGCCTCTTTAATAATTGATTCATTTTCAGAAAAAATAAGAAAGTTTCAATTGAGATTAAATCATCAGAAGATGACAACCTGTTAAGTTTTCAGTTTCCTTCGGATTTTGATGCAAATAAACCAACGAAAATCATAATTCATGGATGGTTGGATAAGTATTATGATCAATTATAACTCCTCAAATATTACTACTCCTCCTGTAACCATGTTCTTATGTGGAGCTTTTGGTTGCAACAAAAGGCTTTCTATTTTCTGACTTTGTTGCTGGCATTTTCTCACGAAAATTAAGTCCAATCCAACCGTCTTTTCTCATCTGTATCTCTTTGTTGATGTCTTTTGGAATGGCTATTTTGGATCAGTTTAATCTGTCTCGTAGAACTTGAATGAACCTTGCTTGAAGGAAGAGTCTTTAAAATCCAAATTTTTAAAGCCCTTCATAAATGAACGACCCATATTTATTAATTTGATTTCTTTTCCTATATACAAGTAGCATAAAGAGTGAATTTGTTCAGAGAGTCAAGAATGCATACTTTCGGAAGTCAGGAAGACATTACAATATTATTGCTGTTGATTGGAAAGAGTCAGCATCAGAAACAGTTTACATTCGATCTGTGTTTTTAACAAAATATGTTGGAAAATTTGTGGCACACTTCATGAACCATATGCAGGCTGAACATGGAGTAAATTTAAGTGATGTTCATATTATCGGATTCAGTTTAGGAGCTCATGTGTAGTTTTGAAGTTATTTGAAATTTTTGGGTATTTTAAAATTGAATATTTTTAGAGCTGGTGTTGCTGGATCTAAACTTCAATTTTGGTCAGGCAAAAAGGTTGGCAGAATCACTGGTCTAGGCGAGTAATATAAAATTTGCAATTTTTAATTTAAACCGATATATAAGTTCTCTTTATAGATCCAGCTTTGCCGTATGTAAGTTGAACTTTAAGCTTCTGTAAAATCATTCATTAATCATTAAAAATTTAAAGTTTGAGGATACATCAAACACAGAAATAATGTTAGACTCATCTGATGCTGATTTTGTGGGTAAGTTTTTAAAATTATTGAAACTTTCAGCAAATTTACAAATCTTTAACGAATCATTAGATGTCATTCATACATGCGCGGGTGTTCTTGGTCATGATAAAAATTTAGGTCATATCGACTTCTATCCAAATGGTGGAGAGCAAGTTCAGCCTGGATGTGATCTCTTATTAAATGACTACTTTGGTGCTTGCTCGCACGATAAGTCATTTAAATATTTTGCAGCGACAATTAACAACCCTAACAAATATTTGGCTAAGAAATGTCAATCATGGAAAAACTTTAAAAGGAAGAGATGTTTTGAAGGTCAAGAAATTCCAATGGGCGATGCTACTCCTGGGAACTTCAACGGTGAATATTACTTGTGGACTGAAAGCTTTGAAAGAGGTGATGATGTTCTAAATGATGATGATGCTTCCGTTAATTTAGATGTGGAATAAGAACCTAAATTAGCTTAAAAATCCAGAAATCAATTAAAACAAAAGAAAATTAAGTTTAACAAAAAAAAGTTTAAATTTTATTAAATTAATATTTTTGGACAATACATTTGTAATTGCTAATGATTAGAAGGCACTTTTAATGTTCCATTTCATTAAATAATTAAAATTAAAAACTATGGCAAGCTAGTAAATTTCACTCGACAATATCACTTTCGGAGATTATTGTGTCATTGTCTATTGGGTCCATAAGAACATCTTCTGGTTTTGGTGCGACTTCAAATACTCTAAATCCATCAACGTCATCCATTTCCTTTGATGTGAACTTGGCGACAAGCTTTGCACTTCCAACATATGATGGCTTGTAAGCAAAGCGGGTTTCTGTTACTGTTTTTGGTAGAATGTCTGGGACCTGGAATTAATTATATATTATAATGGGGTCAGGGTCATTGATATGTAGTTTTTAAAGGTTGCTCTAAGGATGTTTAAGCACCCTTAGACCATACTCTAGCTACAAATGTAATGGGATTCATCAGAGACTCAACCAAGGGGAGTTTGAATGTGATGTCAAACAATCCATATTCAAAAATCATGGCTACGCTAAAGGCTTATTTTTTAATTATGCCGACTAGCAATATGGCAATTTAAATTGCATTACAGACTAAAGTCATCCCTTACTACAGAAATATTTGAATGTAAAAGGTGAATAACCTCTTAGTATCAAGTATGAAGCAGTGTGAAGCTCTCAAACACTTCTATTTCTTTACAATCGAATTAAAATTCATCAACCCAGCACGATAAAAAGTTGATTAATTCTATCAAGCTGAATATCTTTTGATTTTTGGTCTCTATTCAATTAAATAAGGACAATACCCGACAATACCATCCGACTGTCAGGTCATGACTCTAAAGACTTTGTGATTTATCACTTAAAGACGTCTCATAACTTTTGATAGAGGAAGGCAAGACGAAGGTTAAAGATTTTCAAGATTGTGATGTAAATTGCCGTGGATAAAGATTTTTTTACATTCCGTCATCCACAAACATACCCTCAGCTTAATGAATTCAATTTAATTGTAAGGCAAGCTCTCAAAATAGCAAAATTTTCAACAACAACAACAAAAAAATCTCCTTCACAACCAAACCTTTAAGCAATCGAATACAGAAATAAAATTTCGATTACCATAAATATCTTTAATGCTCCTTTAACAGCCACATAAAAATCCTTTTATAATAAGAATAAGAATTCCGAGTAGAAAAAAATACATACCTTTAGAATAAGAGGCTCTTTAAGGCCGGATCCCTCAATTTGAAAGATACCTTTTGTAATCGGTATGGGCAGTGGATTTTCCAATCTTATGTGGATATCGTGAGCAACGTCATGCATTGGCTTTCCTGTAAATATGAACTTAATATCCGGCTTACGTACACGAAAATCATCTTGTGCGAAATATTCATAGTCAGTATTCTCAACAGATGCCCTAAATAAATGTCGTACATAAATTTTAAGATTGTCAATTTCATTGTTCATAAAAAATAAGAAGCAAACTTACATGCAAGCGATATTAAACGCTGACTGATCCAGAAGCTTACGGAAGTAATCAGTAAATGTGACTTCAAGTGACACGGTCTTATCGTTACTTGGTTCAACGACTTCGGAAAATTTCATTGATTTAATTTCTTTGCGGTTCTTGCCAGTATACATAATGGATTCAACAATGAGGTTGCCATTTACTGTATAATTCTTCTCGGATGATCTGTTTTTAATGTGTAGCTCCTAATGGAAGTAGATAATGATATTAAAAATTGAATTTAATTGATTGGGTATTGACATTTAATGTTGGGTTGATTTTGGAAGCTTTTTGGACTGTTATCTTTGGTTGACAATATCTATATCATGAAAAGTTTGTAATGTTCTGGACAACACTGGTCTACAGCTTCAATTACTGAAGATGAAGTGATTTAAAAGGAGAAACTTTGAAAAACAGTGGTTGAGATAGAAAACCTTATTGTTTCAATACATTAGGGGTCTATCAGTAGTGACGTCTGACAATGATTTGAAAGAAAAATGTCATATCCAAGTTACAAAAGGGTGGCGGAATCAAAAGATTATCTTTTCGTAGGTCAAATTTGTCTAGCTAGCTGCTAACATTAACTATTAAGCTAAGTGACCTATAGAGAGAGTCGAGCTATATTTACTAGGTATTAAGAAATGAAAAGTAGGAGCTCAGGATGGAGTCAGCTTCAGGCTTAATCAAGAAGAGACCATAATGTATAATTGAGCTGTACAGCTTAAAATTTAAAATTGGTAAGAGGCTAGACTTGTTAAACACTTCATCATATTGAAAGAATGACATCATTAGCTTACCAAGCCTTCATTCCCCATAATTTACGACATTTCTTAAAAGCTTCGTCCATCACGACCAACAAAAAAATCTCAAATTAATGAACTTTTCACATAAAAAGTGTCAATTTACTTACAACATTAAAGTCTTCGCCAATTTTAATGTCATCTTTAAGTTCAAAGTTGAAATGGACATCATTAAATTCTTCATTGAGATAATATCTTGAAAATGCACTGTTAGCTTGCTTTAATGCTTTCAGCATCGTCGCTCTTTCTTCATCAGTTTTCTCTTCAAATTTATATGTTCTTGTTATATCATCTCGTTCCCATCTACCAATAGCTTTTGTGCTAATGAAATGTCCAATTCCAAATTCATCTTTCTTTATTAATTTCAAGGGATTTCCAGGTCCAGCATATCGCCAGAAAACTTTATCAGCATTAACTTCTGCATATAGGAATTTATTATCGTATGGTTTGAGAACTTCACCTCGTTTAACTGCAGCAACTGAAGCTGGTCCACAACGATACATTTCATCGGACATCTCTTGTGGCGTTGCATCAATTGCCTGCCATCCATCATACATTCCATCATCATTATTGTTCAAATCCGGACGTGACATAAACACCTCATTCCATACATGATAATTCCATATTGAGTCAGATCCCATCTCTTCCATGACTATTATTTTTAGTTTTAAAAAATTCCATTAATTTTTAAAATGTTAATTAAGCTTAACAAATCGCTTCCTACCTTTTCCGTCATCATCCACAAAGTAGTCAACCGTCATACTAGCCTGAGTATCATGTGCTGATGAATAATTTGTCACGATTCTCGATGGAATTCCAATGCATCGTGCAATTGTTGTTAAGCATCCGGCAAATACCCAACATTGTGCAAATTTTACAGGCTTTCGTTTGCGATAAAAGCGTTGCATGATTTCAACAGATCCACCCCATTTAGTCGGTGCTACACCACCAGAAAAATCATTTGTCCAGTTCCCTAAGAGAAGGCCTTCATCATCAGGACTATATAGGCATAAGGGATTAGAATTTCAATTCATAAAGCATATGCAATCTTCTTACCTATTGACAGCAGCAGATAAAGCTCTTGATATTTTTGTAGGACTTCCTCGCGATGACGGATTAACTTTTCCAACGTACGCGATAATATGCAAAGCACAGTCAAGTACATCGCGTTCATACTGTCCAAGCTTCCATGGTGATGGACGCAAACGATTGTAAGTTCCTTTCCAAATTAATGTCGTATCCGACAATACGTATTCATTTCGTGCACGTTCATCTGTTCAAAGCAAATTGGATTCAAAAAGGATAAAAATGGAATAAAAAAGAGATTTTACCTTCTAAATAGACTTCATCCTCACGACACCACGGATTGAATAGAACGTAGAATGGCTGTGGGAGTGAATAGCTCTTCGACATACTATTATTTATTATTTTTGTATCAATATCCATTTTCCATTGCGTAACCAATGCATTTGCTGCTGGTTTTATTAAAATTTCTAAAAGGTCTCCATTGATGCTATTCACAGATGCACCCCATTCAGTCGATTTTCCCAAATCGGTCGATCGATTATTCAATGAGACAGCAATCAACGTTCCATGTCCAAACGATGGCTTTTCAACATCAGCAACACTAAATATTAAGCTTATGGCATCCTTTTCAATATCATATGGACGATTGCAATAGAGTAATAATTTAAAGACCTGACCACGACGTATGACAAGTTTTGGAATTTCTCGCTTCATTACATCGAATCGATTTGTACGATGAGTCTTGCCATTTCGTGCAGTGCATAAATCGACACGCTCGATGGCTAAAATGTCACTGGAAACTGAATCTGCAATGAAAAATAAAATGAGTCATCAATTATGGTTTCGGGTACGGTAAATATTTGAAAATAAAATTATTTAAATAAATTTTACTGCTTGATATTGATACAAGCATAGCAGTTTCGTCATTTGATGCTTTAATTGAGCTTGTAAAATGGCGATAGTCAATATAGACTTTGAAAATGCATTTCCGCTTGTCTGAAATTGCAGAATCGAGAATTTTTCATTTCAGATGAAACTTATAGCTTCAAAAATTACAGAAGTAACATTGTACATACAAAAATGAAATGTTTTCCGCTCCCTAAATGCTCGAATTTTCATTCGCGTCAGTGAATTTGTACATTTTTCAATAAAACTTTACGTACGATATGTTTGCAATTTGTTTGCATGACTGTAAAATAAACTGTTTTTTGCAGTTTCAATTTTCTATGAATAAATTTCCTCGTTTCCTCGTGGGTGGACGATGTAGAGCTCACAATTGAACTTCGTCTAGAAACTTGAAATTTTTTATCGCAATTCCTGCATTAAAAGGGTAAAGGTAGACTTTATTGTTGGTGTTTATTATATGGATGGATGATTGGAAACTTTAGATGAGATAAAGTTTTTAATGGCATAGTTCAATTTAAAGATGAAAGTTGGGATATATATGATATGATGCTAATAAGTTGTTCTACATCAAGTTTAATTTTTTTTAAAAAACAATTTCTAGTTCAGATTCTAGTTTTAGCCAATGTCATTAAGTTTTTTTCTATTTTTACAATCAACAATCATTGACATTGGAATAAATTTTCATTTTCTTGTGGAATTTCCACCTCGAGTTTTCATGTATCAATATCTCACTCACAAAACTTCAATTTAAAGGATGAAATGATGTTTTCTATAGAAAATTAGTGAGCATCCAGCAATAAATACTAAAAACTCATTTAAAGTCATCATATTCTGAGAAATTTCGATTAATAAATTAATCAACCTCTACCTTCAAACATTTCTTGAATAAAATTTACTCAGGCGACTGCAATTTCTAATATTTTATTTCAGTCTTTAATCAACTCATTCACAATGACATAAATTACAATAAAATTAATCACTTACATTCAAAATAACTTATATTACTCATAATTACTTTATAAAAAATATTCAGTCTCTTAATCATCAGATAGCGTCTGTCTAGCAATCAACTCAAGAGAAAAGTCAACAAATCAAGCTTTTCAAACAACTGTCGATGGCGTTCCATTGCTAATGACTGGAAAGAATCCGTTCTGAATATCTTTTGATGGCTTAAAAGTTTCGTGCAGTTGTTCAATCTTGTAAATATCAAAATAATTTTCCTTGTCAACAGTTATGCCATACAGTGGTGATCCATGAAATTCATTCAATGGTTCTTGCTTTAACGGCATGTTGAGTTCTTCATTTAAATTAATATTGTCAGCATGAGGTAGCATTGTTTGTCTTTGATGAGTTTTTCTGACAGATTTATTTGGAGTCAACGTGGTGCTTCGAGTTCTTGACAAATTTCTTGTTCTCGGCTGTGATGGATATGAATTGGAACTTTTGGGCTTTAAAGTTGAAATCGGTCGATTAAATCTAACATTTCCTCGAAACGGGCGTGTAGGTTGATATCTTGAATGATGTGCTTCTGTTGTAAATCGACTTGTTGGAACTGTCATTTTAGGAGGATTTTTCCTCAACTCATTTACTCGTTCTTGATGCTCATCAATCATTGCTTTAACAATTTTCATGTCAACTCCAGCATGAATTGCCTTAAGGGATTTATGGACCGTCTCAATCATTGACTTGTGTTCACTGTCAATTAATGCTGACAACTTTAAAACGACTGGAACGTGTGTTGTGGTAGTTGGTTCCTCTGTCGTCGTAGTAGATTGAGTTGTAGGTTCGAAAATTGGATTTTCATGGTCATGTATTTCCTCATGTTCCTCAGGTTCTTCTTCCTCATCATGATTATTTGCTAGTCGAATGTGTGGCTTCTTCAAGAAATTCTTTCTGCTGCTTGTGTCATACAGCAGTTTACGTTTTGGTTTCATCGTTGTCCCGAACGATGGTCTTTTTGTTGTTGTTGCTGCTTCTGTAATTTCTTCTGTTTTGTCTTTCTGCAATTTATTAATCAACGATGCCTCGGTTGACAAGGTCACGACTGATGATGTTATACCTCTTAATGAACTTTTTGTTGTAGCCGTGGTGGTAGATTTTCGGTACTTTTTAAGCTTCTTTCTTTTCTTTTTTGTTGTCGTTTCCACATCTTCAATACCTTCGGTTGACACAGACGTTGGAGTGGTTGTTTCGTAACGACTATTAAGCATTTCTACTAATCGCTTCTTTAACTTTTCAACATCAATCGGTTGTGGTTCAACAACTGTTTTTGAAACCTGACTTTCAGCACCTTCTAGATTCTCGATTGTTCTTTCCTTCTTTCTCAGTCGTTTACGAACAACTACACGTCTGTATGGCTTATTTGTTGTTGTTGTGGTTACCGGCTCAGTCACTTTTTCTTCTTCTAAAACTGTTTCGACATCATTGTTTGGGAAAATTATAAATAAATCCTCAATTGGCTTTTTATTGGCATCGATTGATGTATCGACATTTAAATTCGGATATACGACATCGACATGCTCATCAATAAATTTAGACTTGCGGTCATTATCAGGCAGGTTTAAATCTATGCTGAAAATATTTTCTATCACTGTTGTAGCGATTGGCGTTTCCGATGTTGTTACATCATCTTCTGGTTCCAACATAAAATTCTCTGTGGTTTCTGGTTCTTCATAAACTTCAGTTGTTGTTGATGTCAAAAAATCTTCAGTTTCAGCCTCATCAGTCATGACTAGATTCTCATCCTCATCCATTCGTCTCAATGCTGTCACTTGTAACTCATTGTCCTTACAGCACCGCACTAATCCATCATCGTTACACTTTAAAATCGTTGCAAAATATTTCGCATCATCTTTCTTGAATTGCTGTGTATCTGGACATGTATTGAGTGGTACACAAGGACATATTTCTTTTGTTGCTTCTATTGCACTCGATATTGTTAAAAATGTGATGATTTTTAATAAATAACACTTCATTTTGTCATTATGAACTTGTCAAATGTCAAACGATAAATAAACTTTTGATTGTGGTCTACGACACTTTAAATATGTCGATTTGGGAATGGGAAAATATTAAATAGGTCATTGTCATTGTCATTTTATTGGAAGCATTGATTTTTGGTTGGGGGAAATAAACAAGAAAGCTGGAAATGCTTGTTGTGAGCTTAAATTTGTGGCAATATTGATGTGGAAACTAGAATAGTTGTTTCTGTGGAAGGAGTGTGGATTGTCTAAATGAGCATCGAATTGTCATAGTTTTTAAATATACTTGACTCATCATAAACAATTCTAAGTTATGCTCTAGCCATAAGCATCCAGACATAATAAGGTCAAAAGCTACAATTTCTCTCAATGTTAAGGCTGCTACTCCAGACATAATGTTGCAAATCAATTAATTTATATGCCCAATTATGAAACAAACTGTCGTCTTCGTAATTACCAATTTCACTCTCACTCTCGATTGAAACTTGAACTTGCAAAAAAAAAAACCGGTAAGTACACTGCCTTCACATCATTCGACTGACAAAAGTGAAATCATCAGAAAACGAAACATATTTCATAATTCACAATTTTTCAAGTTTTAAATAGAAATTTTGTTCGAACAAAACAAATTGCGTGACTGAATGGAAATAGACGAAACCCTATCCGCGAGGTTTTTGAACAAATATTGAAAAATTAGTTCTTTTTCTTTTGATCGCCCAAAAAATATAAATTTAATACAATTTATGAATAATTTTTATTTTACGCATTTTTATGGCAATAAATTCACGTTCGATTTTCTATTTTGGGATATTTTCATTTTGAGCTAGAATTTCAATTTATTCGTGCTTTTCTTGTGAAAATTGAGGCAATTTATTGTATTGCATAAATTAGATTTCAATTATGAATGAAAAATGTATCGAACGTGATGTCATTCAAATTAAAAACGCAATAAAATACTTAACAAGTCAATTTGTTGAGTAATTTAAAGATTGGAGCAATTGATTTAATTGCATGTAAATGTAATAAGTTTTATTGCAGCAGTTTTATGCTAAGCTTACATATTCTCATCAAAAAATGACCACAATAACTACTTTCATCAACCTAGAACCAGTAGTTCTCAAATTTTGGGACATCAACCCTATTTTGCAACGAAAATTTGGTATACATCCATACATTTCGCGATGCACTCGAGTCTTTTGGCCATACAGTCTATAGTCGCATAACATATTTTGAGTTTCATTGCTCTAGAAACTCTCAACTGCCATCACATACAACTTCAAATCGATTTTGTCCTTTAAATCATTCCAAATAACCAATAAATCACATCAACAGCCAACTCTCCTAAAATTATCATATTATTCACATCATTTCATATTCCATCTGCATACTTAGAAGCCATCCATTGAAAGCACTTTACTGACACATTCTGATCAAGGTTGATATATGATTAGTAGCAATATTGCAACTGAATGTGATTTTATCGATGATATATTATTGAAAAATTTACGACGAGTCACACATTGCGAATGTCAAGTATGCTGTTTGGAGATGTTAATCTAGGAAACTGTGACGTAATTGTTTGAATGTGCGTAGAATTGATTTTAGTAAGAATCTTTAAGATGATGTGTCTTCAGAGTTGAGGTTAGGATTATGGACGATTAGTCAATCAATATGATACTTAATTATTTCCGTTCTTTGGCTTTAAGAACATCTTAAATGAATAAAGGTGAGTCTTAACAATTGACTTAACAATGAGGGAAAGAAGGAGTGACTCTGTGAGTTTTACTCAGAAATTGAAATTTGTTATTAAGATGTAAAATCTGGCATAAGATAATGAATTTGACTTTGCGAGATGAAAGTCTCTGTGGCTGTGGGATCAGGCAACAGAATCGGTAGTGACGATGTTTGTTCAGTTCAAACAAGAGGTTGATCTTTAAATCGCTTATTACTCACCATATAACAATAACCAAGAATCATCAAAAGTCAACATATTCTTAAGATCAAAAACTAAATCCAGTCAAAGAAATCTAAAACAAACTTGTTCTTAACTTTGACATCAAGAACCAGTATTCAGTTCTTTAAAAATTTATAAAATTCTACAATCAAAAACATCAAGCTATAACCCAAACTAAGTTCTTCTGGTTATCCAAATTTAATTACAATTCTACTTAACAATAGATCCAAAAACTCATGCACCATAATTGCTATAATTATCTGCTTGTAAATCTTGTCTTAAGCTGATAATGACAGCAAACAAAGTGACTAATTGAGGAAGCAAACATGAACAAAAGAGCACAAAGTCATTAATTATCATCTTGTAAACTGATAATTTTGAAGATGCAGCATTCAAAGTTTCCACAAACTTAATAACTTTTTTGAAAAACTTAATCTTTATTACTCGACACGAAAGAGTCATCAAATCACTTCCACAAAAGTGAATAAAATTGCATCAAAAGCTACTCACTTGACATTCCAAATTTGGTAACATAAACAATTTTCAACATTCTCTTACTTTATTGTCTATGACTATCATTAAAAATTTCTACGAGGGTGTCAATTGTGCAACAAATAACAAAACATTAATCATCACGTAGCTACAAATTGAACTAAAAACAATTATTAATTTAAATTCTCACTCTCCGAGTTTGTCACCTTGTTTGTAGGTATGGTATTGAATGTATTTTTTATATTCTGAATAACAATATGTTCATCACTTAACTGATGTTTTTGAGATATTAAAACATATGTTTTTGAAGAAGTGGTTGTAAGTTTACTGAATTTTTGTGTGGATGGAATAGTTCTGGCTTTATGTCATCAAGATCTTTATTTTGATGATAAGTTTGTATACAGAATTGAGAACCATTATTAACAGAATCTTTATCATCACGTTAAAGATTTCACCTGCACTTGTTCTATATTTTCAGTTTATAACCAAAAATATGAAACTAATCAAACAATTTCGAGCATTAGATCAGTTCCATTCACATGTTTTTAAGTTATTCACACCAATCGGAACTGCTTCTAAACTCGTTAGATTTTAACACTTACTAATCCAATCAAACCAAACCTTAAAGAATCTGTTGCTTAAGTTCATAATCGTGTTTCTGTTTATTAAAGAATTCAGTATTAATGTCAAGCACTTACATAAATTGCATGAACCTGTGCATTGCTTGAACTTGACATTTTTTGTTCGAATAACTCAGTTCTGTGACAGTCTGTTTGTGATCATATATTTAACTTATAAGCAATATTTTATATTGGTTTTTTGAAAAATTGACAGTAAGGCTAAGAAAATTCAGACATTTTTTGATGTCACGGTCTCGACAGGTTCTCAAAATTAAGATATTCTAAGAAATTCAGTCACAAACTTGATGTTAGGAACTAAAATCAGACCCGAAACCTATTCGCGTACCTTGACATATAGAAAACACTATTTAATGATTGAGAGATCGGTCTCTAATTGGAATCGAACCCACGAGGGTCTTAGATATCCGGTCCTGCTGACAAAACCAGTCGCGCCACAGATGACTAACTCTCGCACTGACAGGTTTTCCTATAGATGGCTCGATACCCCAGATTCCATTTTGACTTTTGCCGATAAGGGATTGTATAGGGAGGTTAAAATCTATTAGAGCAAAAGACAACTCCAATGCTGTCTCTTGATCACTAATAAGCATTCAATATTATAAGGATTACAAACTAGATGTAAGTATGCTTTCAACATGATGACCTAATGGCTGTAAATTTTTCTTATCCTACAATTTTCATTAAGTTACTTAAGAATTTGTATCGAGTCCATAAATTATTCACATAAAAATCTACTTTGCCTTCCATTTACCATCCATCAATAATCAATAATGACCCATTCCTCGTTGCCAACAAAATTCCCTTTCATCTTCATTAACATAAAATAAAAAGCATTGCCCTTTGTGCTCATAAATTTTCCCGATATTGTTCCTTACATTAAAGGAATAAGAAGATACTACAAAGAGCATCGATATCAAAGAGCCGAACATAAAACAAAAGATAAAAAAATTGCTCTTGACTCAGATTTTTATTACATTACGACTCAATTCCGCCAACGCATTCTCACATAGACGAAAGCAGAATTGAATCAAAAATTAAATAAAAAAATATGCGAGTGTCATGAGCAGCGTGAAACGTGATGAATTTTGATATGATGCGATGGAAATATTCATTCATATCTCATCTCTCTTCGCACTTTACGTTGCGTCTTATTGACTGACAAGACATGAATGAACGGTAATTTGAGTAAGACACAGAAAAATACATTTTTTGCTTCTTTTTCTTGGAATAAGAAAATGAACTTGTTCTTGAATGAAAATTGTCTTCTACATGAGTTAGTGACATTTTTATGGATATCAATCAATTCATTCACAAGTTGATCTCTTAATGAAAATTGTGGAGGAAGAAGATTTGAAATGATTGTTGTGTACGTGAGAGTATGGAGACATAAATCGAGATTTACTGAGTTTGGAATAAAACTATTAATTAATCTGGTATTTTATGGAGTGCTTTAGACATTAAGATATGGACAGAGATGGTGTGTTTTGTATTGGTCAGCGGATGTTCAATACTACAGTATGGATATTAAATGAAGCAAAAGTAAATAAAGGTAGATATGCAATCTTCAGAAAATATTATAAACCTAATATTTAAAAAGCAAGTTTGTAGTCAGACTGATAACTCGTCGTGGTTACATGCTTTAAATGAGTGTCCTAGACTAGCTGTAAATTTTGATCCTTTTACAAAAGCGGCTTGCCAAGCTAGACAATGCAAACAAGTTTTAATTGAAAATTTGGCACCACTAGCTTTGGAACTCTTTAAAGCCATATCAGATGCAGTATTTAAGTACCAATGTATTAGATCATTCCACTCCAGAACCACTCCAGACCACATTTGACTAAAGAATATTCACTCGCATTCAACTAACATTGCATGACCTTGAATCTGCATCTTTGAGTTCTTAAAACCTCTCAAAAATCTTAAAAACATTCCCACAAAGCATCCTTTAATGTCACTTGGATGTCACAAAGTTTAAAGTTCAAAATTGTTTTAATTTTACTTACTCGCAGCTGATGCAACATAATGCATTCTTGGTGCAGCTACTCGATACTTTCGTCGGTTCCAAAAGTTCGGAACGTGTGAGGAAAAGAAATCTGTTGAATCTGACATGCTGAATAGAACTTCAATTTATTGTAAATGTCAACACTGGTAATTATTAATCTTGCAAACAGCACTTGGCTATTAAAAATGTTTTTTTTTTTGGCACTAAGAAGAGGATTATAATCACTTCCTACTTTTTATTATCTAATGAGATAAGTTTGTTTATTATAAACTAGCAAAAAAAATTAACTTTTAGGACGTCTATACACGCTAGCGTCTTGTTCAATACTAAATTTGCGAACAATCTCAAGCATTCTATTAAAAAACATTCAGCAGTGATTATTAAATAATCTTTTTTTATTGAGAAGTGAAGAGAAAATGTTAAAATAAAGGAAAATCTACAAATACGCTTGATGTTCTTTGTGAATTCGCTTGGATGTATGCTACAAAATGATATTATTGATGTGTATGAGCCGCTTAAAGTAACATGACGTCACTTTTTATTTTGTTTGGTATATTTTTGGTGGAGAGAAGTGTCTTCATTTTGTCTGGTTCTGTGACTAACAGATTAAATGATTATCAAGGTAGATTAAGCTTGTTTCCATTGATTACATTTGGTCTAAGATTATGCCACCAAATACGAGTCTGGATTTTTCGATGGGTTCCAGATTTTTTCACATGTCTATGTCGATACAGTTCCCAACCCTTCTTTGCCAAATCCTACTCCTGGCTACACTCAAGTATGATACTTAAAACAGTTATTAAGACACACTGCGGCTCACAGTTTGAGAACCAATACGCTTTAAATATATTTTTTTAAAAATGCGCTTTTAACCAACAACACAAATAACTCCCTTACTTGTTCTTTAAATAACTACTCATTTTACTACAAATACAGGAATAACAATGAGAAGAGAATAAAAGGAAGATAAACAAGAAGGCATCGCATGCTGTCTAACGAATGTAACGAGGAATAAGTCGGGAATGAGTCAGTCATCACGAGAGCTAGTGCCAAAAAAAGTAAGACTCATATAATTCAGAATAATTTCTCAGTTATTCACAATCCATTCCAATCGAAAGTAATTTAAAGAAATTAGTAATCGTCATATGCTGATCATCACATATCGCTGACATCATGGTTATGCGTTATGAATTGACTGCTGATGTATGATGTCATTTATGAAGTGTCTTGATATATATAAAATTATTTTTTGCAGTTTCAATGCCACATGTAGATTCAATGGACATTGAATAATAATTGACACCCTCGCAAATACTTCATTAAAAATCTTACTAGTTCCTATTATTCTCTATTGGTGAGACGTTTTGTCAATTTCGATGAATTGATTTATGAATTGTTTAATTAATAGACAATAGTCAATGGGATGTTTGTAAATGATGTAAAGCTATTAAGGGTAGAAGTCTAGAACAGTGGTTGCAAATGATTTTTGTGCTATGACACACCTTGATGGTAAACCATGACTAAAACCGTACACGGCATACGGTTCGAGGAATTTCCCGAATTTTTTGACACTTGTGTGCCGCGGCACATGGGTTGGCCATCACTAGAATCTAGGGCCATTTTGTGATCTAGGAAAGTCAGTTGAAGCTTCGGTGACTGCTGAATAGCTTCACCCAGACCCTAACCATACCTAGATATCAACATGACTGTTTTTAATAACAAAGCGACTCGATAGCCAGTTTTAATCAGGTATGGACTTAAAAATCCCTGTTTTTAACTATAGACCCCATTTATGAACGACTCCCAAGATTCATTCTCACTAACGGAAATCATAGCTCAATGAATGGAAATTCCAAATGACAAGTTTACATTTTTATCAGCATAAAATATTTACAGCATGATGAATATTTTGCAATAATCTCTCTGCTGGTGCTTAAAATAAACATTGTTAATTCTCTCCCTGACCTAAGACAAGCTTTGAAATTTATGACAGTTTCAGTGCTGAAGATTTGTTTGGGTGAAGCTTCGCTAATGTTTTTACGGTTGAATAAATTTGCATTAAATGTTACTTATGGGCCATTTTTGAAATGGTTTGGAAAATTGAAAATAATAGAAGTGACATCATGAAGCTCTTGCCTTGATATCGTCTAGGAAGTATGGATTTAAAATGAGATCGAATTTACATTGTTATTAATTTATTCAATGGATGAGTCATGATTCTTCTCAGGTGCCGTTTATTGAGAATATTGTGAGGATTAAAATAATGTATTCAAAATCATGATGATCTGCTGTCTTAATACCAATGGATAAAAATTTATATCTTTCGGAATGTCTATCTGTTAAATTATTATTGACACATCCATTTTGGAACTTCAAAAAATGGGTTTAAGAATAAAAACAGAACAAAGAGCTATAGAAGTATAGCTATAGAGCTATAGAAGTTCTAAAACAGGACTGACTTGAAGAATTCATTGATTTGGGTACGTTAAGGTATGAAATTATCAAAAGAATTCAATTCCTTATTGGAGTTCTTTGAAAAATGCGAATAGTCACGATTCTTCATCAAATTCTCAGTCCATCTTTTGAAAACTTCTACTAAATTGAGTTCTAGGCGCTTGCATGAATTCTGCAATTAATTATATTCAGCCTGGAGCTTATACCAATAATTTAGATTCACATGCATCAGGTGCGTAGCCAGGGGGGGGGGGGGGGGGGGAGGGGGGTATTTGGGGGACAAATCCCCCAACGTAAACAGAAATTTCTTTATTTTGCCAGGGATTTTATGAAAAAATCACAAAAATACACCCCCCCTCCCCCCAAAATTTTTCCATACAAAAAAAAAATTCCCCCCTCTTCACATTCCTGGCTACGCCCCTGATATGCATATAGACCCCAATTTATAAACCATTCCTAAATTCATAACTTCATTAACTGACTTTGAAGGATATTCAAGAATGGAATAGCGTGACACAGTGATTTAATAATTATGCAACTCATTTACTACCTTAAATCTACTGCTGTGAACTGCAAATTCCAATAGCAAAACTTGAGAAATTCAAAAAAATGTTTGATTCCTCAAGTGAAGCACCAACTTAGTAAGTTAAAAATAGTCGAGTATTTGTAAAAATAGGAAATCAAATAGATCATAGACAAGACGAAACATAAAGCAATCGAAGACTTAATATGTGAATATTGGCAGTATTAATTACCAAGAGTACTTTTGCAAGCTGAAATTTCAATATTTGCAATTCCGTTTGATGATTTTGATTTGATAATTTTGAGGTTGTATATTTACAGAAGCTTGGTATTGAATTATCTTAAGATTTATAGTTAATGCCGTCATTTAAATTCTTACAACTTATTTTTTATGAGGAAGATAATCATTAGGATAGCTTTATAATGAGAAATCATTAAATGCAAATTTGTAAATAAACTTATTTGAAGTGTTTATTGATGATTTGAGAAATTAATACAATCTTGATTTAGTCAAGGCGTGGAAATTCAGGATTAATCCTGAAAAATCCCAAAAATCCTTAAAAAATCCCCGAGCCAGTAAACATCAAAATTTAAAATCTCTTTTAAATCATGAAATTCGGAAATTGGGATTTTTCAGGAATAATCCTGAGTTTCCACGCCTTGAATTAAGTCATCAACCACCTTAAAGGCGAAGTTAGAATCAGAGCTCGACTAAAGTTGACTTGAGTTGAGTCCAATCTTTAATAAGTTGATTTTTAAGTTCACAATGAAGCCACGAATTATTAACAATTTTTGTATCATGCTAGACAGTCGTTTAACCTTAGCTTAATTTTTTAAGCATCCATCTAGCCAGAAAAATGGAATAATAAAGCTTTTTTAAAAACCAAATATGTTTCAAATTATTTCCACAAAAACTTTAAAAACTTTAATTCAACACTCATGTTTGCAATTTTTCTTCAGCCATAAAATTGAATTATTCAGTAATAAATTTTGCATATGAAACATCTGCGAATGTTTACATTTCAAAAAAAAAAATACACCGCAAGAATTTTTTGCACAAACAATTCCTTAGTCAAATAAGATGTCGACTTGAATCCGGTTGTGAACGTCATCGATTCAAATTTTGTCTAAATATTGACTATTCAATTTAGAAGATGCTCATTAGAGAACTGAATTTGCAGTGTATTTTGTAGAAAAAACTCAACGTATGAAGTTGTCATGGAACTGAGCTTTTGTGACTTGAAAGAGTAACCAAACTGCCAATGAAGTGCATGTAAAAAATACTTTTTATGTGCAAAAAGGAATTTGCGTCATTGGAAATGATCAACATAGTATGCCCGAGAAGTGGATGGATATGATGAGCATATGGTAGGCTAGTGTCAATTCTAGCTTGGATTTAAGCAATTTTCAATACTCAGTATTAGATGTTGGTCTAGAATATTAAGATTGAAGTGAGATATCAGCTTCCAATGCTACATGGGGTATCTTAGAGCCTAAGGTGTAGCCAGGAATTTAAAGAGAAATGAATTTCTTCAAAGAAACCCAGAAAAATTAAGAAATTTGGAAGAAATCCCTGTTGACGAAGGGTCAATTGTGTCCTCCCTGGCTACACGTCTGCTTATCCCATTGAACGTTCAAGACGTGCATGGTCCTGGCATAATGCATGATTTTTGAACAATGCGGCTTTCTAGTGACTAGTCCATGAATTGCAAATCATTAGCAATCTACCTACATACATTTTGGCTACCCTCATTTTCCAAGCGCTAGAATTTAAAGAATTTTCAGACAATTAGCCTCAAACTTCATCATTATCGAACATTTTATCCAAAACTCCAATTAATAGCAGTTATTCACACAACATTTTTTTTTATCTACAAGTATTTCCGATTTACATCACTCGGGCTTGAAAATGCAAACAATTTCCATATAAATCTACTCACCAACTTCATCGATGTACGGCATAGAAACGGTCTCCAAAGTGAAACTTCTCCTCTCGTTAGCTTTATTTTTAGATTTCCTTCGGAAGCATCTAAAGCATTGGCAGTCATCGAAACATGTTACATTCTTGCATGTTCTAGCAAAGTCGTCCCACCACTTTGAAATTTGATTACCCATTGTTGAGTATATTTTATTTTTATACAACTTCTCGATATATTGTAGCTGTTGATTTAATTACTATACATAGTCTGTTTGGGTTATGCTAGACTTGAAAAATAATTTTTTATTATGAGATAAAAATAGCAATTTCATGCAAATGAACTTCATTGAATTTTCATAGAGTTATGAAATGAAATCAAATGCCTGTGAACTTTATTTGCAAACTATGGTGAGACTTTATATTTTTGGGTCTTCTCAAATAGTCGACCTGTATTTGTAGCAACAATAAATTCAATTAAGAATTAAAAGATGAAATAATGAATTGCGGTGTCTGTTTTGATGTGAGATAGTTTTTGGTAATGGAGGTTAGAGGTTGGGGATGCTCTTAATTTAGAGAGTTTTGATGACTGAAAGCTTTCAGCATTTATGAGATTTTGTGGGGGTCACAGGGGCCACACTATAAAATTTTATCCAGATTTGTAATTTTCGTTCTGATTTTTTGGTTCCAGATGATGAAAATTAGCAAGTCTGTTCATTTGTCGATTAGGGATGAAGACAGGCGGTCTTACAAATAACTCAAATCACTCAGTCATGACCATTCTACTATATCCTACTGTATCTACTCCTATATCTATATGATAGACAATCAATAAAGGCAATCAAATCAGATTCGATGAGAATCGAACCTTTGCAATTAAAATACTAAAGATCAAGCTTCATATTAAAGACATTTCAGTCAAAATTATCTTAGATAAAATCACAGTTCTATGGTACATTTCTAATAGACACCCGCATCACATCTCTGCTTTGGACCCATCCAGACAAAATGAAGACAAATCCTCCAACATTTTAACATCAAGCTTAGCTCACCAAAAAAAAAAATTCACATCTATAAACCAATAGATATGCTGAAACTAGCACTCAAATGACATTATCCACTTTTCTTAAATCAAACACGCAAAATTCCATATTTGACATGCCCAGCTCAATGGCTCTCATTCTTTTATGGAAGAGACAAGTTTCAAGTAAGCGACGATTTAACGAATGAATGGAAATCTATTTAAATTTATCAATACTGTGCGACGTTAAGAAAAAAAAATAGTTTTAGGTGTATTGGAAGTTATACACATTTAAGTTCGTCAATCAAGCTATGGGAGCTTTAGGTTAAGGTCAATGAAGCTGAGATATGAAATATAAATGTGCCTTCAATTGATAATGCAAATTGAATAAATTTTTGATGCTGTGCATATTCTACATGAACTATTGACACATGTTATCGTCGATGTCATGCAAATTCCATAATTTACATCGCAACTGACTATAAACAAGATTGTTTGCGATAACACAAAAGCGATGACGAATTCATTAAAATATTTTTGATGGGGGAAGCCGCCACAAGACAAAAAAGAATCAACAGCTGTACAGAAACCAGTTGTCGACAATGCATATTGTTGTGGAGTCAAGTCATTGAGTTATTATGTCATAAATAATTTAAAAGAATCGATAGAAATGCTGAGATTGATGTTTCATCACGAAATCACAATAAATCTTGAGTCTTGTTATTATAACTACCGTTTAATAAACACGTATTGTGCTAATTGAATGGGATTATCATCAATCAATTGCCAGTTACAAAGAATTTTGTTCCTAACGACTTTTTCAAATTTAAATCTGTTTCTACCGTTATTTTCTATTTTTAAATATTTTAATTCCGTTAATTTTTCACAATATTGAATTTTCCCGATTTATAGCTCCCAGATTACACTAATTCTTAATTGCAATCGCTAGTAATAAACTACAAATTTTTGCTAGCACACTCGACTGAATCTCCGATGAAACTAAGTTGTTAAAGTTTTTATTTTATTTTTCGTGTGTGGGAAAATATTATGGAGCAATAATGCTTGAGTAACACACGAGACTAGCATCGAATTGAATTAAGAAAAAAAAAGATACATAAAAAAAGATGAAAAGAGAGCTATTTTGAAAAACACAAAAAAATATAATTCTTTTTTATACACAGGAAAAAAAATAGATACAAGTAAGAAAGTCATGGTGGAATCTGATGGTTAATGTGGTTGAAGCGCATAAGAATGAAGCAAGAAATGTTAAGCTTAGAGAGATATTTTTCAAAAGTTGAGTATTAAAAGTAGCCAAAACTTCAAGAGGCTGGTGCTGTGGGCTTAATTGAGCAGCAAATCAACCCTTGCCAACACCACTGATTGACGTTGAGATTGTCCTTACATTGATAAGATGATTAAGTTCACGAAACTAGAACATGAGAATTTTCAAAAGTTATTGTAGTTGGGATCGAACTAAGCTTGAATAAACCTCTATAATGCTCTATACCATGTTGATAAGTTGACAATTCCAGGTGTAAGGTTCATCAAGGGTATGAAACGTTCAACCAGGTTCAACCATCTTTCGATCATTTCGATCAGTTCTCATTCGAATATTACTAGTCGGTTAGTCGAATAGAAATCCGATACCAAGCAGGTGTGACTTTGGCATGGTGCCAGATTCGATTTATGTCCAGCACCATGCCAGAATCACATCGGCTTGGTCTATCTCTATTCGATTAACGGACATGTGCCCTTCTCCCATTTTTTCACGAGATGTTAGACTTTTCATTCGATAAATGTCTGCATACGCCGCTATTAGGACTTCTACTAGCTTTATAATTGTATTCAATATTCAACAATTTTCTCAGCAACTCTGTGTATTAAGTTTCAGTATTGCCTCCAAAGCCAAAACTATCAATGAAAATCGTTAATGAAGTGCGAAGCCTCCTACTCATTGATGGAAGATCTACCATACTTCACTATATTTCATTGATGAGTCAGTCACAATACATAGTTCAATTTCAGCAGAAATCTAAATTTTCAAGGCTGCACTAATTTAAAAACTCAGACAGTCCACAGACTGAATATTCTACTTCACCCAGCATTTCATGAATTCCAAAAATAAATTCATCAATCGCAAATATTGAGGGCAATAAAGTGGAAACGTGAATGCGTGCAACTTTGCAATTTTTCTTCCGCTTCCAATTCTTCGTGTGTGGGTCTGAAATGAATAAATTCAATAAAAAATTTCAAAGCACATCGATTTTTTAAGGCATAATATTTTTTATTATTATTACAAACGTAATCAATCTCGAAAATTTGTGTATAGAAAAGTATGAATGCATTTATGGCAGTTTACAGTTTACGTATCGATAAGTTTCAAATTGTATGGAATGTTGTAAATTGAGGAGATGATGAAGTGGTTTGGTGATCAAAAAAAAATTAAGGAAAATTTGACAATTGATGAGATTTTTCAGCTGTTGCTTATTTATTTTTAAGAGACATTGATAATCAAACTGTGCGAAACTGAAAGAACATCTATAAAATCCCATCAAATGTCAACTTTTAAAATAAATAAAAAAATTTCAATCTCTTAAACTTCTTTACAATGAATTGTCAGCACCACTATAACTAATTCCATTAGCAGGTTGATCATAAGCATATTTTGCTGTTGTCGTTGTCACTCTCGTTGTGTATGAAGTCGATCTTGGAATATAAGTCCAAGCACCATTCGTAAAACTGAATCTATAAGTGTATGTCGGTCGTTCTCCATAAGTGTATGTAGCTGTTGATGTGGCTGGTCTTTCTGTTGTTACTCGAGCAATTGGAAGGTAGCTAGGTCCACGGAACTTTGTGGTCGTCACAGGCTTTCTTGTGGTTGTTGTAACGACTGGGATATCACAGTTTGGATTGTTGGCTCCATTTGTACAGCAGTATTTGCCACTGCCTCCATTTAAACAGCAGTCTTTGTTGTTGGCGCCATTTTCACAGCAGTGAGGAAGGGTTCCACCGTTTTGACACTGTTGGGATGTAAAAAGTAAAGAATTGATATTAAGGCTTAGTATTTAAAGCGAATAACAACTTCTTGGAATCACAGAGTGGCATATCCCCAACTCTTCTCTTAACATTTTGAACATCATTATTAAACAACCCGTAAACATAATCTTATAAATCACACAAATTAATCAACAGTGAATTACAATCTTAGCACAGAACAAATCTTACATCTGGTCGCCTTGTAGTAATTTTTGATGTCACTCCTCTAGTCGTTGTTGTTGAAGCTGTTGAAATAATTCTCTGGGTTGTTGTTGAAATTTTTGGAACCGTACAATCCGGATTATCTGATCCATTAGTACAACAATATTTGCCTGATTATGTACATGACAGCATATTTAAAACAAAGAAGAATACACAAGGACAGGAGAAAAAAAAAATTAAATTAGCACTCATGTCTTTATTAATTTCAATGTCAATTAAAGTCGCTGGTCATCATATGAATATGTGAATAAAAATTGCTAGCAGCTTACCTTTTCCACCGTTTGTACAGCAGTCAATGTTATTTGCTCCGTTTGTGCAGCAGAATGGCCCTTAACAAATAAAAAAGAGAAATCAACATGAGATTTTCAGCCAATTTTGTTGTTTGTTCAAATATTTGCTTTGTCCTGCCTCTAGGTTAATTGAATTAAGTGTGTATAATTGTTTTATTTTTGGGTATTCAATATAATGTAGCAAGGCACGTGTTTATATAGAGTTAAAGAAGTCATACGTTTTGCGTATGTGATCCGTTATTTAAAGCAGTGGCATTTTAAAGTTGAACATTTCAGTTTAATTTCAGAGTAGAGAAACTTGAAGAGTATGAGGACAGTGGTGGACAACCTATGTGCTGAGGCACATGTGTTTAAAAATGTCTCAAGCTCGTTCTAATTCCTTAACCCGGTAAGGGGCCGTTCACTTATTACGTTCGCATTTTAGGGGGGAGGGAGGGGGGTTTGAAAAATTGTAACAAAATGTAACAAGGGGGGGGGGGGGGGTCAAGAAGTATGTAACGTTCTAACTGTCGTCTGTCTTTTAAAAAAAAGTTCACGAAAAAAATTTGTTTACAAATTCACACCAAAAACATTTCATTTTTGTTTAGGGGGGGTTGTGTGTTGTAACATATTGTAACAGGGGGGGGGGGGGGGGGAGGGGGGTGTAAAAAGTCGTTTTTTTGCGTAACGTAATAAGTGAACGGCCCCTAAGATTTTATGTGATGATACTCTATATAATGATTGAGAGATCGTGCACGGGTGGGAATTGAACCCACGTGCTCACAAAATAGGGTTACAGATATAAATCCTGTTGCCTAACCTCTCGCGTCACACAGACCTAACTTACGCATTGACAGATTAGCCTATATATGGCTTGATACCTCAGATTCCACTCTGTTCCAACAACACATGCCTCTAAGGCAGTGATGGCTAACCCATGTGTCGCGGCACACGCACAAACTTTTTTGAAAATCCCATAAACCGTATGCTGTGTTCGCTGTGAGCTTACCATCAAGTGTGCGGTGGCAAAAAAAGGTTGAACACCACTGCTCTAGGGTATCTATGAAATTAGATATAATGCGCTTCTACAATACTGGGGGTCCTCGATTTGAGTAGTTGTTTTGTTCCAAAAAATTTCTACTCAAATCGAATCTATTCAAATCGAGGCAAAGAATTCATACAAAATTACATGTTTTGTTCCTGAGTCCAAAAAATGTATCAAAACAATGAAAATTTTGATCATTTTTTGCACATTTTACCTCGTTTCTTAACTTTTCCTTTGTGTTTTAGATAACTTAATTTATTTCAACGCATATTCATATTGTTTTTAAACGGAAATTCACAAAAAAAATGTTTTTGAAACAAAACAAAAATATGAGAACCTTGCAAATGTTATTTCACTGAACAATTTGTAAGGTTTTTGAATTTGAACTTTTTAAAATCGTTGATTTTATATCGATTTTTTAAATTTTTACTTTAATTTTGTAACTTTAGTATTGATTTTTCTATCAATATGATAAGTTCACGCTTATCGCAGTAAAATTTATGTTTTAAAATTATTTTCTGAAATGTTTTTATCAAAAATATTTGTTTTGTAAACAATTCAAATCGAAGAAAACAGGAAGAAATCTACTCAAATCGAATATTTTGGTGGGTAATAAATTTTCTGTTCAAATCGAATCTACTCAAATAGAATCTACTCAAATCGAGGACCCCCAGTAATAGAAAATCAACCGAACTCCTTACTTACATCATACCCATTAAAACAACATTTAATCAAAGACGAAGAAGACAAAAGACCATTTTTAAATGAACAAATAAATTTCAAAAAGACATCGTCTATGAATTTTTTCGATTATAAATTACCTGATCCGTTATTTTCACAACAGTCTTTGTTATTGGCATTATTAAGACAGCAATATGGACCTAGAACGAGAATAAATAATCAGAATAAGTCAATTTACATTGAAAATACCAAGTAATTCACATGTCCGGACTGAAATGTCAAGGAAGGTGTAAGCATGCAAGCTAATTAAATTATTAAATGTTAAGTACATGACAATGATATTTTAAGCTCATAAATCGCAAAGCTGTCAAGGTTCATAGGAACAGACACTTATTCAGTCAATCGGATTTAATCTCATCAACATGAGAGATTAATAATTGAGGATAAACAACATAATTTGATTACCTTTTCCATTATTAAGACAACAATCTAGGTTGTTAGCATTATTCTTACAACAATAAGGACCGCTTCCGCCAGTTGGACACTACAATTAATTATAGCATCATTAAAAAATTATTAATTTATCTTCTAAAATGACTCACTGGCACACGAGCCGTTGTTGTTAAAGGTGGAAGGTATGTAGGAGCTTGTGTTGATGTTCTCGCGGTTACCAATCGTGTCGTTGTTGTTGGTCGTCGTGTTGTTTGAGTTGGAAGTTCACAATTTGGTCCCTTGCCATTATTTAAGCAACAGTCAACATTATTTGCACCATTTTCACAGCAATAAGGAAGTCGCCCTCCATTTGGACACTGTAAATATATTCTCATAGATTCATTAATATTCATATTTGGTAATGTTTAGGATGCTTACATCTGGCTTCTTTGTTGGCAATTCACAATTTGGATTGTTTGCCCCATTTGTGCAGCAGTAAGGACCTTTGCCATTATTTATACAACAATCTTGATTATTTGCACCGTTCGAGCAGCAATAAGGAAGTATTCCGCCATTTGGACACTGGAAGGTGTTTAAAATTAATTATTTTCACTGATTTGCATAATTTCTGAAGTCACTTACGTCAGGTTTTCTTGTTGTTGTTGTTCTTTGGGTTGTTGCTCTTGTAGTTGTTGGTGGTCTCGTTGTGGTTTGTCGTGTTGTTGTTGTTGGGATTCTGAAAAAAATTTCATTAATTAAGCTATGAATTATTATGCTCAGATATTGAATACAAGAAGTTGACGTTGATGGATGGAACGACAAGTGAATGGATACAAAGTTGATGCAAAAAAAGCTATAGAAGTACGAAATTGTGAATCACAGACATCAAAATTAGCATAAACTATGAAATAATTTAAAGTTCAATCGCAATCCTTTGTTCCTTATTTAATCGATCATTCATTCTTGTCGTAAGATTCGGAAGTAGACTTAAGAGTCAATTTTGAAGGTACACGGCAAGCACATGGTCAATTTATGTTCCTATTAACTTTATATTAAGGAATCACATAGAAATCATCCAATTCAACTTAGTAAGGCAACATCAATTTAAACTTACTCTGGTCTCCTCAGACATTTACAATCACAATCAGCCATTCCATTCGTTGTTGCGAACGAAAACTGTGAACTATCGCCCTCCAACAGATCAAAGAATCCATTATTTTGGACGAATTTTAAAGGTTTGGCATCTATCGCATTAGTCTGTGATTCTTGAAGCACCGTCATAAATTTATTCTTATCAACTTCCATTGTGACAACGCTCGAGCCACTTGTGGATTCATCATATGTATAAAGAATGACTGCTTTGACACCACCGCGTTCTGGAAACAGAAAATTTTTTGCCTCATAAATTTTAATTTTATGTCTATTTATGGCTATTAGAATTTTTGTAGGATGTTCTTATTGAGGTATGATTAATATTATAGTCCATAGGCATGAAGGTCGTAGAATTATTTTTCAAATAAAATTATACACTTTTGTCTCTTTTTTTCCATGAATTTCTTTAACTCGATTTATGATTCATAGTCTCGCGAAATTATAGCTGCAAATTTATTATATTTTGCGGTCGAAGCAGATGTTTTGGTAATTTGCAATAATTATTAGATTGTTTTGTCTTCGGGTCTTTTATCGCTGATGAAATTTCATGAGAATCTTTTAAAATTTTAATTCTTTTTTCAAGCAGAATAAGATTATTATTTTGTTAAATATTCGGATAATTTAGAACTTTCGGGTTCTTGAGTGAATAGTTTAGAATACAAAATTTTAAGAAAATGATTTTAAAATATTTAACAAAGTTTGAACAAAGGAAAATAAAAAAAAAATCAAACAAAATCAATATTTATCAGAGTTTGAAAATAAAATGAAAATTGCTCTATTTTGAAAATAAATCAAAATGAAAATTATGAAAATTGCCAATTTTGATCAAAGCAATTTTGCAATTTTGTCAATTTCAAAAATTGTTATTTTGGAAATTGTTTATTTTCGAAAATTGCAATTTTGGAAATTATCAATTTTCAATTTTGTGACGTCACAAAATTTCTTCGGGAATTTTGTATGAAAATTTTCATATGAATTGATGACTTTATGCTTGAGACTTTCCTTGATTTTTAATCAAAACCATTATGAGCAATCATAGCAGCAAATGATGAAAATTAATAACGAATCATAAGTACTATGCTATATGAGACATCCCATATGGAACTGGTTATGTCCAACTGACTGGAACTGCCAAAAAAAATTTTATTTGTTTTCTATACTTTTTAGACACTTTCAGAGGAGGTTCCAAAAAAACAGGTTAGCAAAAAAGTTCGGAAAATTCAGCAGTTCCTCTCCCCTAATAAAATTTACATCAAACATGTTTTTCATACATTTTCAGAAATGAATTTTTTTTTTGATAATCATGTCTGTATGGTGATGCAGCATTATGAGTACCTTTAATTTAAAATAAACTTAAAGGAACAACGCATCAAACACGCAGGAATTAGCAAGTATTAAGTTAAAAACGAATATCAACATCCAGGAAATAAACTGTATCTTTTGTTTTTCTGAAGAAAAAATTCATTTAAAAAGAAGAAAATTTTCATACAAAATAATTCATCAAATATTTATGACGTCACAAAAATAAAAATTGATAATTTCCAAAATTGCAATTTTGGAAAATAAACAATTTCCGAAATTGCAATTTTCTGAAATTGACAAAATTGCAAAATTGCTTTGATCAAAATTGGCAATTTTCATAATTTTCATTTTGATTTATTTTCAAAATAGAGCAATTTTCATTTTATTTTCAAACTCTGATATTTATCAAATTTTAATATGAATCGAACCCTTTTCCAATACAACGATTTTGTTATTAAAAATCTATTTGCTATCAACTCGATCATATCGACCATATCTACATATTTAACCATTCAGAGATTTAAAGTATTTATAGGATTTAAAGTATGAAAATCAAAATACAAGAGATTAGACAAATCTTCAAACATTTATGAATTAGATTGAATTTCATTTCAGTTTTTTAGTATGAAAATCATGAAAATATTGATTTAACACAAAGTATTACAAATTATCGAATTTAAATTGACAAATGCCTTATCAAGTTTCATTCATCAAACTTTATTACTTTGGGTCTTTAAGACCTTAGCGAGGCACTACTATCTCTTAAGTGTTTCGCAAACTTTTCAAAGTTTTCTGGTTTTATCTTTCTATGATACGGTACTTATTACTATAGACACATCTAAGACTTTCTGAATAAGAATAATAATAATGAGATAGGCTTCCAGCCCGGCGATGTGTGTTGCACGGTGCCATGACTTGAAAGCACTACGATCCTGATCGAAGATTAAGAACAATAGTGCTTTGCGGAGTATAGTTTGAGAACAACAGAATCTTAAATCATCTAGTGAAACTTAATTAAAATTTATGCCTCTAAAACCAAGGAGTTTCAGGCAAATGATAACTTAACAGAGCTTCCGAGTTTTTTCCATATGGAGGCTTGATAGAAGCTATTAAAGACTCTACAAATTGGAAGTGAACTTCTATTTACTGTTATTAAAAGAATTTAAAAATCACCTTTGATAGATCTTTAATCAATTGTGTCTGTTGGATTGAATAGAACTGATTTGAATTAATCAACAATAAAGTTCTCTTTTGAAGAAATCTGATATTCATTTTGTGATGCTTTGATTCCCTTGTCTTAAATGCAACAAAGCACAATATAAATCTTTTATGAACTCAATTCCCAATCTAGAATTACAATCCACCATAAAAGTCCAATAAAAAGAAAACTTCCTCAAAATCATCAAAATGTTAAATTAATCAATTCTATTTTGACTACATCCCATTGTCTATCTCACGATCTCCTTTCATCACTTCATAATAATGATTGAATCTTTATTAATTTATTGAACAAAGCAAATAATGAATTTATTATTCAAAAATGCCAAAACATTTTCAATTCTTCTTCCTTTGTTTGACATCTGTGTCATCATCTTTGGAATGTCCTTTTCACACAGAAAAATTATTCTTTAGAGAACCACAATATGCAAATTTTACACCATTTTAAAATATTCATCGACCGTAAAATTAGTAGTTTCATAATATCAACAATCTAATGGAGATGAAGACAATATTGAAGAATTGACGATGTCTCGTTCATTGACGCTGATTCGTTCCTTTGTTTCTGTTAGAAAATCCTTGGGAGTTTTCAATAAAATTAGCAATATTCATGATTCATTTATGTTAATTAATGCACAATTTACATATCTTATTTCATTGACATTCAGAGGACGATCAGCATTAAATTGTTCTACACTACTTGGGTCTTAATTAGCTCACTTCAATTGTTAATCGAAGCTTAATCCATTGCCAATTTTAAGTCACTTAAGACTTCTTCTTCTTCTTCAATTATGGGGGTCGTTTGTAAATGATGGCTAATATTTTTGATTGCTGTTAAATACTTAATTTGATGTTAAACCTCTCGAAAATTTATTGTTGTATACCAAAAATTCACAAACATCATGTCAGACGTCACTTATTGCCGAACCAGCAAAAAAAAAATCTTCTCAATTTTAATTTTCATACATGCGAGAAAAAAATCACTTTCGATTTCATTAAACTTCTTCTTTCTCATTGACCAGCATCATTATTGTCATTATGAGCACTTGAATGCCATTTTCTGCTGGTCATCATGTTTTATAATCGCAATAGTAAATAGGAATGATGGCTCTTAAGCGCATTTTAAGCGAATACATTTCATTAAGCTTGCTTTGTGCACACAAAATAGATCTTGTAGGATTGTTATCTCCTAGGCATTGGCATAGTGTTAACTATGGGCAATTCTTTGGATGACTTTTGGAAAATTTTTAGCAAAAAATCGAAATTTTATTGATTTTTCCCATCAGAGGCACTGATTTTATGATTCTTATCGATGTAAAAATCTAAAATGTACACTCCTTTTGATATCATATACTTCTAATCGCTGTATTAATTAAGTTATTTGGATTCTTTTGTCAATAACTCGATGACAGAAATCGGAATTTTCAATTTTCATCATCCGAAGAATCGAAAATTAGAGAAAACTATTGATATCCACATTAAATAACTTTTACTGAGTCATAGAACAGACAAAAATCTTTAATTAGGTTGCTTTTCTGTGTGCTTTAAGTCAGTAATTAATGAAATATTTCAATTCTTTGAAAAATTTCCTTGTGTCATCGAGTTATAAAGAAGCTTTTTTTTGTCTTAATCCGTGAAAAAATACAAAGTTTTCAAACATATTTTTTCAATTTTTCACTTAATTTGGGTGAGTTGTAACATTTCAATAGATCACTTGTAAAGAATTAATTATGCTTAATGATCTACGAAAGTTCTGGCTTATTATTCCTTCACAGTAATATGAAATTAAAGAAAACATTTTATTGACACAAAACTCATTGACATTGAATTATGAAAGCTCATTTTTTTCAAATTCCACTCATCCAAAGAATTGCCCCTATACGAGACATGATTGATTTATTATGCAAATTTTATTACAAAATCTCCATTTTTTTATGATGATGTCTTCAATTATTGAAAATATTGTCAATATCAGGTGATAGTTGAAATCATTCATGGCATTTTGAACTTTTGTGATGCATAAAATTTGGAAATATTTTTTATGGATATGAACGCAACTTTTAGAAGTCAATGAACGTCAATGGATGAGATTTTGTGATTTTTTTATTAATTTATATCACAGTTGAATTATTAGCTTCAAATTGAAAGTTATTAGGATTTAAATAAGTTGTTCTAACAATGTCAGGAAGGATATGTATTATTAGATCACAGATTGTCATTATTTTTGAGTTAAAGCAAATAAAGCATTAATTTGAGTATTTTTAATTCACTCCGGCTCTTATGCACTCTGTATTGTTTCATTTCCTACTTGTCACAAAACTACATTGTTCTAAGTTCTCAGCAGTTAAGAATAAATCATTAAGAGAAAATTGTAAACAGCTGCACTGACCAAGCCTTGTTCTCACAAAATGACTCCTATTACACAATAACAATCTCATCATTTTTATTTGATTCTAAATAATGGCACGTTTCACTTTATTACTGTTCAGAAGAAATTTCTTTTGCATATGCAGCCTTTATAGTTTGTAAATCATATGCTTGTATTTCTACCTAGTGTTTTAAGGATCTAATGAAGTTTGTATTAACTTTTTGCAAGTTTTATTCAAAGTCAAATGTTTGAAACATGCTACGGACACGTCGAAAAATCCGTTATTTTTTGCTTTGAATTTCAAAAAACCGTTTAATTTCCATGAATATTTCTTGCAAACACTGGCAAAACCAAGGCTTGGGCAAACGATTCTTATTCTTAGCTTCATGTTTAGCTAAGTTTAGCTAAAGTCATCCAAGAAAAATACTAGAAATTAAATATTAATGCTCAAAATCTTAAAATTAACAAACTTTTAACGGTTTTAAAATATTCAAACACTAGGTCGACTAAATTCAAACATGTCGAAAATATTCGACTCTGAAATGTCCGTAGCATGGTTTGAAAAATGAAATTTATGATAATTATCAAGGTTCTTTAAAAGTCTTTCTCGTTTAGCGTTAATTATGGTTTTTTTTGCAAATTTAATGTTGATTTTTAATTATTAAATGAAATAATTCACGTTCAAAAGATAAGGTTCGATTCCTTATAAAAGGTTTGGATTCGCTAGATTTGCTTCTTTGTGTTTTTCCTTTATCAAAGTAATATTCATCAAATTTAAACAGCAAGCTTAATTCACTATTCATCCCATGTGGCTCTGCGCTGTTGTAATCCTCAATTAAACAACACCTCACTATTCCAAGATTCATATTTTTTATTCATGTCCATATCTTCATTTATTTATTGTATGATTGCACTAAAGTCATCACTAAATGATGAATAACTCACTTGCAGCATCAGCGATTATTACAGCATCACTAATTAATATTATGAACACTAGAAGTATTGATGGCAGTGTTTGCTTATTCATCATCACTGTATTTAATTTCCTTTACTTTATTAATTACGATTTTTTTTCTTCTCTTTTTTTTATTTATTGAAATAAAAAAAATTACACAAAATAAAATAATTCACTTAATAGATGTTTATAGCCGAAAATATCCGAAACGAGTGACCAAAAAATAAACTTTGCACAGGTTTATAATTCCAAATAAACTTAATATTTCTTTCTTGCTTAGAGAAGAAGTGGAGTTTACGAGGTAAGAAGACGCGTCGTCGAGTTGAGATTGAATGAAAAAAGAAGATATTTTCGTACTTTTATGAGTGTGTATGCAAATCAGTTATAACCACAACTTCTTGTTACGTTTAAGTCGTGAATCAAACGAAAAAGGAAAATTCTTAAATTTCTAATGCGCGTATAACCCCATCAGAGGAGAGGTAGTCATCGGATGAGTCTGTAAATAGTGATTTTTGTGCTGTGAACAGGATTTAGACAAACTCTTTTTTTCGCTTCTTATTAGTGCATTTTATGAAGGTTTGTAAAGCTTTTTTCAGTCTCTTTGAAAAATTGTTTGTTTGTCTGTTTGTCTTGCTGGCTGGATGTATCAAATCGTTATGGAAACGATCTAGTTTGACGTCTAATCAGATCTAATCTAGTGCGTTAGAGTATTTATCCTCTTAATACCCCCTCAACCTATAAGCTAGTGACTTCTAGAACCAACGCTTGAAAAAAGGATTTGAAACTGATCAAAACAATTAAAAATCCGATTTCTTAAAGTCGTACAGACAGAATGAGAATTTGAGGGGAGAGCAATGTTAAGTGCCTTTTTGGACCTTAGAATAGAATGTAATGTAGGGTTTTGCTAATAGCAAAAGCGGCACTGCGATCGATAATCTGTTGTACCATCCCAAGTCCCCTATGTTAGAATTCCGATGTCCTTAATGAAGCCAATAATGTCCTGATAATGCTGCTTATTTATATCCTCATCATTCAAATAGTCCTCATCAAAATGCTTGACACGTTGTCCTCGTAATGACCTACATTTACAAAGTATATGAATGATTGTTTCTTCATTCACATTACAAAATCTGCAAATTTTACTGTTAGACAAATTCAATTTAAAAAGAAAACTATTGATACTCATGTGTCCTGTCAAAGCACCAATTAAGATGCTAAGATCTTTCCTTTGGACCTTACTTGTTCGAACAAATTGAAACTGTTCGACAAATTTGAATAATTTTTTTGGTCGATATTGTATGACTTTATCAATTTATATAGAGGACCCTTGAAGTCGAATAGATTTTTCCCACTCATAACTTTCAAAATTCAATCTTTCAACCTTAAGAATGCGCCTTTGTCACTCTCACAAACCACCAACTAGCTACAAGTCTCACTTCTTTTATATTTTAATATTTTTTGAGAGAAATAAAATGTTTAATGTGTTTTCGCCGATGTCTTTAAATAAACTACAACTCCTTGTTTAATCGTTTACACAGTCAGCACAGCTCACTTACCATCAAATAATTTTTAATGTTAAATCAATATGTTCTAATAGTTTTACGAAAAAAAAATATTATTATATTGGTGACGGATCTCAAGGCATTCTTGTTCTCATCATTTTGCGATTCAATTAAAATTTTTCTCTATATTTTATATTATTTTATTTGTTTAGAGGTCTTCGATAATTCATGAGCTTTAAATCATAATACAAATATGCGGGAAGGCACATTAAAAAGGCGTTTGGAATTTATTTATTTTTTCATCACTAAGGATGATGTCGTAGATGGCATTCTAATGGTTTTATAGCTTTGTACGGTACCTGCGCGACTTCCTAACTTTGCTGACTCACTCTAAGTCCCGTGAGCCTTTTGATAAAACTTTTAACTTTCAAAGTGTTTGTCCAAATTTTAAGGCATTCTTTAACATTCAAAAAGCTAATTTCAACAGCACTGCATGTTAAGGAACTAAATTTTCAAGCCCGCATTCGTTGCACGATCTTAAAATTTATTCATGCATAGCAAAATATCATCAATCGACTATTGAACTTGATAACAACTTTGTTTATCCGTTACGAGTAATTTTTATAGTCATGCACCAATCTTAGGACACTCGGTTAAGTCATTAAGGCTGTGGTACAATTAAATTGTCAGTTTTTAATATTGAGCTTAATGTAACCGGATATTTTTTTGCACAGTAATCACCTTGCGTATTTTACCAGAATAATCTTCTGCTTAACTGCTAATGATGCGAATTCAGCCTTGCACTTCTTGAAACATTTTATACTTTTAAATCGAATGTGCGTAGATTTGGTTCTGTTGAGGGATTATTCACCAATTTTGGTCACAAAGGAATTGGAATTTTTGGGACTCTTTATCTGACTCGACATTTTGATTGTCTAATCTCGAAGACCATACTAACTGTATGATGTGAAAGTCTGCTGATAAGGAGATAAAGCTGTCTTAATGCAGTGTGAGCTTTGTTGGTCATGTATTCCACATAAATTTATTCTGTTGTCTTTAACCATTTCCAAATTCTTAACCTCTTGTTTCCCATTTGATGTTGTAACTTGGAAGTTGCCTAAAACACTATTCCCACAAAAATTTGAGACGATATAAGTACACAACTCCTTGGTAAAACCTTATCATAAATTACTGATTTTTGTATTTAAAATGAAGTCGGCGTTAATTAAAGGTAGCATTCATACCTAGAAGAAGATAACTTAATATAGGGTGACAAAACTTTTGGATTAAGATAGGAAGTCTTGTCATATTTGCATTAAATTTCTTTCCGATTTCTCATGCTAAACTTCAAGTTCCTCACCTGTTGCTTAATCCAACGTTTTCGTGGAGCTGGAAACCTGAATCTTGAGCTTTAAATTTGTCATAATCTTGTTTATACAATCCAACTTAAATGCTTGACCTCCTCAATAAAAACCATAGAAAGCAGCAAACAAGTATGTAGCCATCCTATTGTCAAGTTCCATAAGATAGAATTAACAATAAAAAATGGCATCATATTGAACTCTACTATCATTGTCTCACAATCAATAAGAATCCATAAGGAATAAAAATTAAATTGAAAGTTTTAATTTAAATCCAATTCTCATAATCGTTCAAGTCTATAAAATAAAAAAAAATGCACTTGTAGAGTATCCATTTTATTATGCTGCTATATAGTATATCCGATGCAGGAAAACGTTTAAGGGGGATTAATAATTAATCGCATTAAATAAGAAACGGCTTCATAAAAACCAGAAAAATCTTTTACCAGATGTCAAGTAGTGAGTAGAGTTTGGTAGACTTTACGGTGCCGGATTGATTAGATTTGATTTTTTGTTGGATAGTGTTTGGTGTATTTATCTGGTTTTGATGTTAAACTAGACAATACTCAGAGTTTAGGAGATTCTTGGATTGCGTATGCTTCTCCGACTTAACTAGGGTTTATCCGAGCTATAAAATCTAGTATGAGGTAGAGTAGATTCCGTAGATGACATTTGTGGACTCTTACACCTGACTTTTAATGGAGGATATACTTTCAACTATTAGACATCATAAGCAACTAATCCTAAACCAATCTCGAAATTACTTCCTACCCAGTAACAGTCAATTAATTATCAACCTTAAGAGTTCTTAAATAGCTGCTGATTTCATGTCTGAAAACACTCCATTAGAAGTATGTCTGCATAATTCGCAGTAAAATCTCCTCAAAGGAATCTCCGCAAAAACAGAATTTTTTTATGTTCATTAATATTATTATTATTGCTGCTGATCCTCTTGCTACTTAATTTTTGCAAGAACACTAACTGAATGATGGAAACGTTAATTGCAAAAGCTAATAGATAGACATTAAGTGTAGTATGACTTATTAAGAAAAAAAAACCGCAGTGTCAGTAATCATAATCATCAGTGATGAGGCAAGCAACTCCCAAATAAAAACTGCTTACCATACGAAAAAACAATTCATCTTGTGGACATTGAGATGGAATTTATCATCCAAATTCGTAAATTATTAATATGAGTGTGTCGTTGTCAACCAGTCTTTTGGTATGTAAAATTACACTTTGACACTGAAATAGTGACTGAGCAGCTTTACGGTGTGCCTTCTTCTTTGATTATTACATATTTATACCAAAGGTCATCCCCATGCTCACTCTTTTGCCCTATAACACTATGTTACTGTTGTGAAAAATGCTTAATGGCATATGATTTGTAGTTTTTACACCTATTAATTGTCAACGCAGAGTGTTTGTTTGAGTAATAACTTTAGAAGACGATAAAATGTGTCTTGATGAGTTTGCTAATGTGCATCCACTGCTTTGATCGAAATGTGTTGTTTTTATGACTTTTTAACAAGCAATTCTTTACAATTTAAATTTTTAAAAATTTACCCTTTAAAGTTTCTTCATTTCGAAAAGTATTTTTACTGTTAAGTCTATTTTGACCGTCTATAATTGTGATATTCTCTTGATTACGCTTTTAAAAAGTGGCAAAATGTGAACGACATCAAAGCAAATTAAATCATATTTTCCAAAAAGAGGATATCAACAAAACATTCATTCTAGCCTCGAAAATTGTGCATCACCAATTTTTTTCTTCCCAATTAACAATCGAATCATTCCTAACCTTCACATTCTTCATGAATTATCACAAAATACACCGTTTAAATAAGCATGCAGATTCAAAAAAGGTTGCAAAAAAAGCAGTTTAATTAAATTTATTTAACTCTATTTTATCCTCTTCTTTTTGACAGTGCGGACTCTCCATAGTATCATGCTGATGCGAAACATTTTTACATAGCCGAAGCATCCACAACAAAGCAGAGATGATTACAACGATGATCACTTGTTTTACGCCGTTTATGAATATTTTTGTATGAATGTATGAATAGATTGGATTAAAAAAGTCTTTTTTGTGTATTGTGCCATAAATTAAAGTGTAATAGATTTACGACCTTCACAATTTAGTCTTCAATATTAGCTATTGACCTTTTTATAAACTGATGATTTAAAATTTGAATCTCATTATTTGTATTATTGTATTGAATGAAGAGTTCTTTCGAGAACTTTTGACTATATAAGGTACGACTTGATTTACAGCTTTAATTTGCAGGTAAGAATATTATAAATAGATATAAATATCACGGCTATAAGAGTCATGACTTGTGCAAATAACTGAAATTCCTTAGAAGCTTTGCATTAGTGACGTCGTATAAACTATTCATTTTTTCATGGAATCTCCACATTGAGTTTTAAATACTCAATATCTCTTAAATGACTGATCATCTCACAGAGCATTTGACATAAAACAGCACTTAAGATCTGAGCAAACAAAGAATCGAAAGTTAGAACCTTCCGTCATTTCTTATAATACATTAAGTATCGAATTACACACAAAACACGTGGTAAGTATGATAAATTCTTAATCGGACATATCAGGCTCATATCAAAAGGGATAATCGATAAAGCACAATAAATCTTTCTCATTCATATTCAATTTTTCATCAATCTACTCAAATAGCCAGAAAAATTAACATTCATGAATGTTGAGTGATCTTATCTATCAAATCACCGCACCTTCCGTAGCCTTATTACCTTGAATGCTACTTGCAAAAAAATAAAATATTTTTTATAAGCATTACTAAATATTTTTAAGCGATAAGCATGTTTTATGGAAATATAATCTGATGAGCTTTTGAAATCTCTTATTTGTTTTTAATGCAAATTCTGCGAAACTATGAACAGGATAATAAAATTGTTTGTTGAAATCATATCCATTGGCCGAAATCTAACACATCTGTAAGGACAAAGGGAAGCTGCTCCACATACAAAAAGCTACTCGACATTTCAAATAATTAATTAAATTTCTTCAATAAAAGCATTCAAGTGCAGTCACACACAGTAAGCCTAAGTTACAACTGTTGTGTCAATTTTTTCAGCCGGCGTTTTATAATAAAAATTACTGAAGCAATTTTCCTTGATGTACTCTCCACCCAATTCATAGTATTCTTCTTTTGTAATCGAATGAGCATTCAAATTGTTTCCACTTATTGTAAATTTCCTTGCACCATTCCAAGCATCAAATGAGCCCTCTTTTGCAATCTTTACATTGTATGTACTTTTAAATGGTCTTATTTCCATCAATTCTCTCCATAATCTTTCCTTCAAGCCTGGTAGCTTGGCTATTCCACCTGTTAGAAAAATGTTATCAACAAGTTGCTGTTGTTCTGTTGCTGTAAACAGTTTTAAGACATAATCGATTGTTTCAGCAAGTCCAGCTTCACAAATACCCATCATGCTTGGTTGGAACAGCAATTCAGGAGCTCGAATAGCTTCAACTGAGAAGTGCAGCTGCAATAAAAAAGATTAAGTACTAAAATAACTGCTCGATAAAATTTGAATATTTTAGCACCAACAATTTCAAATCTGGTTTTTAACGGTTTTCCATAAATTTTACACACACTAACGTAAACTCACACACGTAGAGCAATGTTTACAAAATTACTAAATCGAAGTTTAATTAAATTAAGCCAAACGGCGAATTATCAGATCTCAAAACGGACATGTATGTATAAAGGAGCTAAAACTTATGATGGAGATGGAAAGACATCCGTTCAAGTATTAAATAATGACATGGAAAATGGACTTTTAATCAATGGAATCAGTCAAGCTGGATTTCGATTGAATAATGACTTATTTATAGTCGGTCCAATGATTATTTTCCCGAGGTATGGATCTATTACTTATATTTTACTGAATGTCATGTAAATAATTGTCTATTTTCAGATCCGTTTTGTCATGGAACATTGAAAGTTTTAAGGACATTAATGAAGATTCACTGAGTATATTCAGGCTAATGGAACCGAAAGTAGATATGATAGTTTTAGGCGTTGGAGATCAGCAACCAACACCGGACTTCCAAAGAAGGATATTGTCATTCATGAAAAAGTCTAATATTAATGTAGAAGTGCTTCAAACAGAGCAAGCATGCACAACCTTTAATTTCCTAAATTCTGAAGGTAGGATGATAGGAGGAGCTATGATTCCACCAGTTACATTAAGTGTAAGTGAGGATGATTATGCGAAATACTTATTAGAACGTCAAAATTTACTCAGTTTAGAGCAATAAAAAAACGTGGTAATGAATAGTTTAATTAGTTTACTCTTAAACTTACTTGATGATATTCAGCTGGTGTCATTTTCAATTTCTCTTCATCTTCAAGCATTGGATCGTGATGTCGCAGTATTTCATCTATTTCCATCAACTTTTCATTCTCAACTTCGCTGTCACTGTCTTGTTCACGGCTGATTGCCTTATAAACATCCCAATCTTCATCTCTTGAACCAAAATCATCAGTTCCTTTCTCTTTTCCAGCTAATTTCGAGATGATTCGCATTCTTTCTTGTGCTGCTGCTGTTCTTCTTTTTGCTAGATCTGAACGTCTTTGTCGTCTGACTTGTTTCTTCTCTAAAATAGCACTTTTCTTCTCACGAACTTCACTCAACCAGTCCTCTAAATTGATACCCTGCGGTGGCATTGGGATTATAACTGGCTTTTCTTCAGTTGTTACTCCAGTTTCAACTGCTTGCATTTTCAACTTTATTTTATCAATTCTTGCTCTTGTTGCTGCTATTGTCTTCTCTAGCTCTTCATATGTACTCAGATTGAGCTCTTTTAATCCCATTTCAAAGTCTTCTGTGTCTTCGTCGTCAAATGATTCTGGAAAGTTAAGGAAATGGCATGGAAATAGAAATCAAAAATTAACGAACTTTTGAGATTCAAATTTTAACGGTTATGTATAATTTGAATTTTATCGGTTTTGGAGAACTTGAAATTTATCGGTTTTGTAGAATTTGAATTTTACCGGTTTTGTAGAATTTGAATTTTATCGGTTTTGTAGAATTTGAATTTTATCGGTTTTGGAGAATTCAAAAAATATTAACGGTTTTTTGCTTTAATTTATCTATTATCTTAATCTTACCCAAAACCTCCTCCAGTTTCTGCAACTGATCTTCTTCTTCAGCCAAACGTTCTTCCCTTTTTCTTGCATTAATTTCAGCAAGTCTTCTTGACATTTCCTTCTTTTTCTCAATTTTCTGTTCAGCCGTTAATTGAGTAGTTGCAGCACTTTGAGAATATGGCAACTGTACTTTCTTGATATGATTATCATAGTATTCATGTGACGACCATTTTTTTAGATCCTCAAAGTAATCATAAGAAATTCTGCTGTGTCCATGAAAGAGTTCTTCAATCCGACTTAAAGTAATGTTGTTTACATGCATTGAATATTTTAACTGCATTAGTCGATGCATGTAAGTCATCATATGAAATCCACCAACATTGACTCTACGGATTTTATCGATAATATGCTGTCCATTCATAAATGGGATTACGTGAGTTGTGTGATATCCAAGAGAAATAATTAATCCAGTTCCTTTAATATTGTCATTATAATTGAAACTGAATAATGAGTCTATTCCATAAAATACAGATGGAATTTGATAACATTCAAAGAGCAGTTCAGACATCACTGAAAGTTCAAGTCGGCAAATAAAGAATCTAGTTGATTTAACTAATTTATCTCTACTTACATGAGCGACAATAGTTCGGATTGACCATAGCTTCAGTCATAACGATTGGATGATTAACAGATCCTTCAGTATTAATCCCCAAATGTGTAAACATGTAGTCAAAAATCTGTTCCTGAATATAGAAATGCGTGACTACATTTCGATCAAATTGTGTCCTTAACTGGAACCGCAAGGCTTCAATATTAACAATATCATTGCCAATCAATGTTGCTGGTGGTGCTTGCTGTGCAATTTCCTCCTTTGTGTCCTTCTTGTTTCTGTCTTTTCGAGGCTTGCAAATTAAATTTTTAAAGATTAATTGAGGAGTTTTTCGATTTGCAAAGCCAACACGACATTGAAATGATCCATTATCGATGACTAATGGACTCTTTTGATCTTTCAACGTGTATTCATGTACGATATCTTGCGTTGCCTTTAAATCTTTTAAATAAATAATATTGTCGAAAAATTCTTGATCCATCTTGTTTTGTTTACAAATAAAAACTAAAGTAGTAAGCTTTGAAATTTATATTCACACTAGAAACATACTTAATAGTCTGCTTTATCGATTCATCTTGTTTGTGACTTTAAATAATATTGTTTTATTGGTACAATTGATTACATAAAGTTTGTGAAGTTAAATTCGAGTTTAAAAACATTTGTATGGTTTTCGTTGAAAATTCAATGGTCGTTAAAATTTCAAATTCTACAAAACCGATAAAATTCAAAAATTTCAAATTCTACAAAACCGATAAAATTCAAAAATTTCAAATCCGTTAAAATTCAAATCCTACAAAGCTGTTAAAAATGCGGCAAAATTAAAACAACACGTGAGTGAATTTTATATTTGATCGACTTTATTATTAAATCATTTGTAATATTGGCAAGTTACATAAAAATATATGCACAATATAGTCATAAAATATTTAAAATAATCTCATAGGAATAATATAATTCTTGTCACAATAATGAATCAATCGATAAGAATAAGCCACAATATTAGTTATGAGAAAAATTACTGTCATAGGTTTGTTTAGAAATAAGATTCAATAATGATTTGAAGTAGAATAAAATAGATGTGATGTTCAAAAAGTTTCACTTCTAGGCTCCATTGTGTGTAAACATTGAATGAGGGTCAATGTATCCTTTATCTTAATACCTTTACGTCCCATTTCTTCTAATCTGTCATTTATCGACTTTGCATCCAAGCCTTTTTGCCAATAAAGGTATGACGCAGTGTTCAATAATGGGATATAAAGCACAAGAATCTCAGTATCAGATACATGATTAAATCGCTTCAATGCTAAGTCAGTCCATTTTATTGAGGATGGATGAGATATTGGTGATGTTGTACATGCACAGACTAATCGGCATAACAAAAGAAGCACTTGACGTGATTTATCTAAATATACTTTGTTCAGCTAAAATATGAAGAATATATGTTAATTAAATTAGGAACTCTATGTCAAGCTACAATGACTTACAAGTTGGAAACTATTTTCTAAAATCGGCACAGCCGCTTCATTTCTTCGTTCGTCGAGTAATCTCGAAGCTTTTGTAAGCTCATCATCTTGTAAGAAACTAAGGAAACTCGGTGAGTCACGTAAGGCAGGAATCGATACACAATAGTCAAGGAGATTCTCAAAAGCCACAGATCGTTCGCTGATCAAATCGCTTGTGAAGTTACCTAAAATTTTCTTCTTTGGAAAGGCAACATTTACCATCAACTGAGGACTTTCCTTCTTAAGGGCCTCATAAAGTTTTAAAAAGTCTGTATATCTTCGCTCAATAATGGCTGGAGCTTTATCAGCCTGCGTCGTTGTGTCCAACGTGCATATAACATCATAAACAACATATTTTTTCGTATTACTGGCTTGTTCACTGTCTGCATTAGGACAAATTCTTGCAAACTGGATCTCAAACCGAGTAATATATCCATCAGAATCAGCATTTACCGGAAGTGGCTTACGAGTTTCTCTTTGCCATACATCTAAAAGTGACGCAGAGCGAATAAAGTAAACACAATGAGAGTGATCAGCTGTTTTTTGTATTTACTGCTATGAGTCATGTACAGTGTGTGAGAATGTACGGGAAATATGCATGATGCGACATTGACTGGATGTTTTAAAGGAAAAACTTACCTTTCACTATTTTATCACGCGTAATTGCTAATGTTGTTCTTTCGAATGCTTCTTCAACGACTGGACTGTCTGCATCTTCCAAAATTTCCGATGATACATGCTCACGAGATCCTCTAATTATAGCTTGCACTAATTAATTGATGAAAAAATACCGAAAGTTTAAGTTTTCTATGAAAAGTGTGATAAATTCTGTTTATTCTTACTTTTTCTCGTATTGTAGATGTCAATTAACACTTGATGTTTAATTTTGGCTTGCTTTAAACTTTATGTCTACTTTTAACAGATTAAATGAACAAAATTAATCAATTCTTTCTTATCTCTCCTTTGTCAATTAAATTTGATGTTCTAAATGCGTAGGAATGTTTTTGCACTTAGATTATGAATGAGACTAAGGCGATTTGTTGCTTGATCAACAAAGAAAACAAGTTTAATTAAGAAACTTTGATTTTTGAAAGTTTTTCAAAATGTAAACAAAACTTAACGGCTTTTTTGAATTCAAATTTAGTCGTTGTCAATTGTGTGTAATTTTTTTTCGTGGATTTATTACAATTAATTTAAATTTCTGATTTAGCTAGCTCATTATAGTAAATAGTCATGACCACTATTCAAAAAGCTATCAGTCAATTGATTATAATAGACAGAAAGTCAAAGGAATAGCAATAAACTCGATAAAACTTTTTAGTACAAGGGATTCTTGATTTGAATAATCAGTCGGTTTAAGGGATAAAAGCTATGCATTTTTGATACAGTCGCAGCTATTATAATCAAGGACTCCTAATATACTGTAAACACGAAATCTTTGTGAACAATGAATCTATCAATTTTACGGCTAGGAATCACCAATAATTTCTTTAGACAGACTAGAATCAGTCAGAGTGTCCTATATTGTCGATATTCATCATCAGGTAAGATGTCATTAGCTAATTTCATGATAATTTAAAATAATTTCACAATTTGAATTTTTAGGAAATCAAAAACTTCAGCAGTTCAACATCAGAGATGAAGTTCCAGACGGGCGACCATTATATCTAGATGCTCAAGCAACGACTTCACTAGATCCGAGAGTGCTAGACACAATGATGCCATTTTTAACAAATTTCTATGGAAATCCACACAGTCGAACTCATTATTATGGATGGGAAACAGAAACTGCTGTCGAAAAGGCTCGTTCTGATATTGCTAATTTAATTGGTGCTGATCCAAAAGAGATAATTTTCACATCCGGTGCAACAGAATCAAATAATATAGCAGTTAAAGGTGTCGGACGATTCTATGGTGCTAAAAAGAAGCATATCATTACAACACAGACAGAACACAAGTGTGTCTTAGACTCATGTCGAGCACTCGAAGGCGAAGGCTTTAAAATCACATATTTGCCAGTTGATAAAAGTGGACTTATCAGTCTTGAGGCGCTTGATAAAGCAATCACTCCAGAAACGTCATTAGTATCAATTATGGCTGTAAATAATGAGATTGGAGTTAAACAGCCAATGGCAGACATAGGAAAGCTTTGCAGATCAAAGAAAGTCTTTTTTCATACAGATGCAGCACAAGCTGTCGGCAAGATTCCATTGAATGTTAATGATATGAACATTGACTTGATGTCAATCAGTGGACATAAGATTTATGGACCGAAAGGTATTGGTGCAATTTATATTCGTCGTAGACCACGCGTACGAGTTGAAGCTATTCAAAGTGGCGGTGGACAAGAAAGAGGAATTAGAAGTGGAACATTACCAGCTCCTTTAGTCGTTGGATTAGGACGAGCATGTGAAATAGCACAAAAGGAAATGGCCTATGATCATAAGAGGATAGAATATTTGTCAAAAAGATTAATTGATGGAATTATGGGACAATTAGAGCATGTCGTAAGGAACGGAGATCCAGAAACTTCATATCCAGGATGTGTAAATTTGTCATTTGCATTTGTTGAAGGCGAGTCACTTCTGATGGCTTTAAAGGATGTTGCATTATCTAGTGGATCAGCATGTACTTCAGCATCATTGGAACCATCGTATGTACTGCGAGCTATCGGAACTGATGAAGATTTAGCACACAGTTCAATACGTTTTGGTCTCGGGCGATTTACGACAGATGAAGAAGTTGATTATACAATAGACAAGACTGTTAAGCATGTTAGTCGACTGAGGGAAATGTCTCCATTATGGGAGATGGTCCAAGAAGGCATCGACATTAAGACAATACAATGGTCACAGCATTAAAAATTCAAACATTTTCTGTAGGATTCCACAAAGTACACAATTTTTTTCTTCTTTTTTCAAGCATGTCACTTATTATTTTTTCAGCTTTATTATTAATTTAACTTTCTTTTCTTTCTTGCTGCCATATTTTATTAGTTGTGTAGTATCAAAATTCTGCAATCTACAAATGAATTTTTCGTTTGTATCTCATCTATTGTTTATGTTATTACTTTTTTATAGTGGTAAAAGAAGCTCTTTAATGCAGTAATAAAAATTGAATTTAAATATATTTTAAAATTCTATGTGAGGCTATAAAGTAATGGATAGCAACAAACAGAAATTACTCTTTCATTTAGCACATTTTTGAAATTATGTTTAGCATCTCATGACTGACTTTTGTATTTTGAAGGGATGGGAAGAATTTGAGTTGATATATTTTTAAAACTTTCCGTTACAAATTTTTTTGAATTCAGAAAATAACCGATTTTATTGGTTTGAACCGGTTCAAATAAATTGAATTCTTTTCGGTCGTTCGTTTTTGAATATTTTCCAACCGGTATTTTTTTAAGAAAAAAAAAAAGATTATCGATCACGTGTAGCCACAAATTACAACTTTGGATATAAATAATTGAAATTGACATTTAAAACACACAAATGAAAAAGAATTGATAACATCCAGTAACATCCCAGAATAGAACAAAAATGTTATCCATAAAAATCCCTCATTTCTTGAACTTTAGAGCTATTGTACCAGACAATAATTTTAATTTAATATTTCAGTCGTTGCAATGCGCTTCAGTCAAAGCTGTGACAATTTATGTTTCATATCCCTACGTTATTTTTGGCATAACATTAATTAATTAATTTTTCCATCATTGTTAAAACAACTGCATAATCATGAATGAATGGAATAGAGTTAAGATAAGCGATTATATAAAGTTTAGTTTTTTCAAGTGCCTTATTTTCACAAGTTTTATAATCTCATCCATTCAAGGAAATAAAAACTAAGTTTTTTTAAGTTTTGTAGAATATTTTACACAGAGAGATACTTAATGAATATATAAGTATAATTTAATTAATCACGTTTAAAAGTCGTTTAATTAAAAATGCATGATGTGAATTCTATTAGTTGAGTTAATCTAGGTAATATATGAAGACATCCATAAAAGCAAGCGCTCCTCACATCCTGAACTCTTTCCAGTTGAATTTCTCGTTGGACATTGCTGGTTCATCTACAGCAACTTAGTGGAATTGGTGACGAGATGACATTCAGAGGTCAGATCCAGGAATAAAGATGGAAAGAGCGCTTGCCGATTGCTAACAAGAGCAATTCTCGACATTTTCTTCTGGTGGATGAACTTTAAAGCCATGATGTTCAAGTTCTTGCAGCTCTAATCTTGAACGGTTGGTCTCACACAGACTTTGTGCTATAACAGTGAACATTTCGTTAATATTTAAATTATTTTTGCATGATGTCTTGAATGTTCCTTGAATTAAACCATGACATTGCTCACAGAACTGTTGCATATCATCATCAGTTACTTCCGACGGCAAATCCATTTTATTTCCACATAGGAAGATCCTAGCATTCTCAGCAAACATCGTTATATCCACTAAATGCTGTGATAAGCTATGAAACGAATTGGCGTTGTCCATTGCAAAGCATAGAATTGCAGCTTCAGCGAATTTATAATATGATGAAGTCACAGACGCAATTCTTTCCATGCCTCAAAATGAATATTAATTAATTTAAATTAGATTAAGTAATTTTTATGATTATTACCTCCTGTATCAAACAATAATAATTTCAAATTACGTCCATTAACTACAAATGTCTTCGAGTAATGATCAAGACCTACAAAAGTAAACAAAATTAATCTTTCCGCAATTGATAAGGCTCAAATGTCATAATTGTCAGTAATTTGTTCACTGGATCTTGTAAACATTTAAAGTAAAATGATAATTTCATAATGTTTGATGGATTAATAATGTCAAAATAAGATCCAGTAGACTCAAAATGAGTTAATTACGTTTTAAAGATTTTTCTTACCTAAAGTGGCTTTTCTATCGTTCGAATTTATGAAGGTATCACACATATAACGCCTGAAAAGTGATGATTTTCCAACGCCAAAGTCCCCTACGAGGATTACTTTCTGTTCTGGCGTGCTCGTTGAAGCCATATCTTGGATGTATTAATTAATTTAAATGTTTTAAAAATTCACTTTGTATCTTTAATGGATTTTTTTGTACTAAAACTGATTGGGACATCAAAGTTTTAGGACTGAATCTTATTTTGAGAAATATGAATGAATCTGATGGTGATGTATGCTGCTTTTGATTTATTCTTGAACATTATTATGTACTTTAATTATTTGCATGCTGGATATGCCTGAAATCTTCACAGAAATGAAGTAAATAATTTCGATTTTATCATCCCCGCATTACTTTTAGTACAGCTGTTTGAAGCATGAATTTTATATACACAGACTTCTAATAACGGTCACTTATGCTCTATGCTGTCTGGAATGTGAAAGCTGTAATAGATTTTGAATAATTCACGATTTTAGTAAAAAAACGTTAAAAAATTCAAAAGTTCAAATTCAAAAAATCCGTTATAAAATTAAAAGTCATTAAAACTATTAAAACTATTAATTTCACAATGAAAACGGTTAAAAAAGCGCCTTGTAAAGCAAAAGCGAATAGCATTACATCACATCCATTCTCAATATTGGAAAAAGAGAGAGAATCAGCTTTTAAAGTTTGCATGAGAGACATTCTGAAAAAGTTCGTCGAGCAGTAAACATCGTTTGCTTATAAAATTACATTTTTAAGTTAATAGTATTAACTTTTGTGTCGTTTAACATACAAGATTTCATGATTCAAGTGTAGATTAAACAATTCTTCGTGTTACTTTATTATATTTTATTAGAATTAAATGAAATATGCAAAGAAATATTATTGAAAACAGAAACTAGTGAAAAAAAGTTAATTTTAGCAAGTTTTTGCATACGAATACAGAAAAAAGATTAAGTTAAATGCATCGCCGATAAGTTACGATAATTAATAAGCTTAAAAAACGACACCAGAAAAGTGAATTGCATTTCAAATCGATAAAACAAGAAATTTGTTAAATATTTTTGAAGTTAAAAAGGTTTTTTCGTCGATTGCACACATAAAATAAGCATCCACACAGTGAATTAAATAAATTAGAATAGAAGAAAAGTTAAATAATTGTAAATGTGTATTAATTGAATCGATAAAGTGAAAATTCGTTGACAAAATAGTGAAATTAAGCATTTTTGGATATACGCAAGTGAAATAGAAGTTCAAGGATTTAATAAGGAGCATCAACATAGGAGAGAAACAAAGAAACGGAGAAAAGAAATATCATTTTCATAAAAACAGGTAGGAAAAAATAATATAAACTGTGAAATGTCTGTTGTATGATGTGTTATGCAGTATAACTAGACTTCTTAATGCACCATCAATGTCGTTGGGGTCATTTTAACATGTCTATTGAAGTGCATTCGAGGAGAAAGAGATGGAGAAAAAAAAAAGTTCAATTCATCATCTTAATTGTTGTTTCTTTTCTTATATATCGACTCGACTCGAGTTTTATCGTTTTAATCTTCTAATTGTATTGGATTAACTCGTTTTGTTCGGTTGATTGGTAGTGGATAAAATTGAGAATATCTTTACGATTCGTCAAGATTGTTAAAAACCGTTGAAATTAAATTTTTAAAATTCGACGAAAAATTTTGAATCTTAAAAAGCCGTTAAATTTTTAACAATCTGAATAAAACTGCTTCTAGACAAATTGCGCTCGATTTATCCTCCCACTTGTACTTCTCAACTAATTCTTTTTTGTGAAAGTCACAGACAAGTTTCTCATCACTTCGTCTAACGTCTCTGCAAGCACAAATTGTCGGTAAAAAGATCGGGTATAAGAAGGCATAATAAGAAGAAGAGAACATAAGAGATTTTGTTAGATTATTTTAAAAACCGTTCTCGTCATTGTCTTCTTCTTTCTCACACGCGAACAACCTTGAATTCTAATTTTTCGTATTTTTACTCTTATCACTCATATGTCAATCGATGATGATAAATAATATCAAAATTGCTCGGAGGGCGTAAAATAAAAGCTTTTTTTTTCACTTGCATCATCGAAGACAATTCGATTTCGCATGATAATGATTTTCATTGGAATACCCCAAACCCATTTATTGTTCGAAACATTGAACATTGTCAAATAGAGAATTTTTTTTAGCTACAACAATAACTTGATAACGGTTACGGCATAATATTTTTCTTCTTTATTTTCTCGGTTTCTTGTTGTGTGTAAACTTCTTATTATTTCATTGTTACTTCCTCTCTCTCATCATCGAGCCGTAGTAATGTCGACTATTTTATTCACATTTTTCCTTTCTTTATGTCTTAGCTCTTGATTCATTGAAGAAAATGATTATTCAGACAAGATTGCAATCAAAGAGTTCAACAGTACAGTATATAGTCATAATAAAAGTGAAGATTCTCTAGGCAATAAAAAGTCAGCTTACATTGAAAAATGGTTAAATTAAGACAATCGGACTTGTGGGGATACTCATTGAGGTGCTAAATGGTCTGATACATTAAACCTTGCTTTTTCTTCTGATTAAAAAATTTAACATATTCCCGGAAATAGCAAAGGAAGTAAAATTGAGTTAGATTAAATGTGAATCAGGATAATTTAATTTACATCTTCATATGAAGATACTCACCACTATACTACCGAGGATTTTTATGTTCATTGTTATACTTATTGGCTGTGTAGAAGTGCTTCTTTGTTTAACGATACTCGCCAATTTTTTCTTGGGGGTTGTTCACTTTAACTGTGATTAACTCAAGAACATTAATATAAAAACAAACTTGTAGTAGCAACAACCACCATCTAAATAGCGAAGCTGTATACCTAACCGATTTTTAAAGCGAAAAACAGTTTCCACTAAAATCAAACAATAGATCTTTCGTTTCTATGCTGTTTTCTTATTACTTTTCGCGACTATCTTACATTTTTCATTCTTCTTACTTTTTTTTTACAACGATTACAAAATTGCTCTCCAATCGAAATAGAAATAGATCATTTTTAAGTGCGAAAATTGTGGTGCATTGCATAGCTTTAAAGTATTTGTTACGCAATTCAGGTGACCACTGAAGTGTGTGTATAGATATGTATAAATTGTAGACAATACAATACTGTTCTCACGTTTCACAAGATAAATTAATTGTATGTATATATTTTTCCTGTCAGAATGTTTTTAAAAAGTGCTTTCCACCTTTCGGTTAGTGCATCATGAGACACTTGTGTTTATACGATATGATGATAAAACACTCATGATGATTGTCTTTAAAGAATATCGTTTGTTGTTTTATCGTAATTACTACTTCATCACATGCTCAAGTACAATAATAACAATATGTCAAATATATTTATAAGGTAGGAAAGAGAAATAAATAACTTTCAGTTTTTTCTCATTTTTATTTTATGTCTATAGCATTATCAATTGCGAATTAGCCATTATTATATGTTTACCAGCCTTTTGTCCTGAAGGTCTCTTCAATATAAGATAATTTTCAATGAGCTTATATCGTGTAGCATTCACATGTAAGCTATGTGAACACACATTTGAGCAAAAAAATGAGAGTGAAGCACGTGGGAGATTAAAAGGTATTTACAGCGTGTGCTTGCATAAATTGTTTAAGTACGATGCATATATGACAATATGCAATTGAATTATTAACATTTTAATTGTAATGCCCATCAATCGTGATGTAAATTTTTTTTACATTAATGCATTAAACGAGATTTCAAGTTGATCTATGACGCCGCTCCTTCTGTTTTTCTTTTCTCAGTAATTTTGCACTAATAAACACCTGTCATTAATTTTGTAACACACCGCTTGTCATTTAAAAATAAATGGAGTAGGAAGAAATTTTTGCCCATTTCGACCTTTTTCTCTCCTTGTTCAAAATATTTCGTTTGCTCTCACTCACGCTGAATTGCTTTGGCGAGTTTTCCATCTATCTTCTATCAACGACTGTTGTTTCTACTGAACATATGGTAGTTAAACATACTTTTGCCCATATATGGGCTAATATTCAGCAACAATAATAAATAAAATTATTCAATTTTTAATACAAGTAGTTTTTCAATATTTTCTGATTATCCGTGACTGTTAGCTGTTTTTTTGCATGTGATGTTGTGCATTTTTAGATACAGTAATGTCCACTTAAATCTAAAACAAGGTGGTTTTTCAGTAAGCTAATATCTTGGAATTTAAATTCAATTTGGGGGTTGAGGTGTGAATCTGGAAAACAACCTGCTGGAAATACAATTGGCTCTAAGTTCCAATGTTGTGCTAGACCTGTTGAGTGTTTTACCCCACACATGCTTTCCGAATCAGCCATAAAGATGACTAGATTAAAAATTAAATTCGCTTTAAGCCATTCAATTGAATATCACCATGACTTTTTAAACTAGCTATTCAAAATGCACATTTAATACGCTCATTAGGAGTTTTAAGCTCTGCCACTTCATGAGCAACTAATTCACTTTATTTATTTATTTAATAATAGTTCTGTCAATTCACTCGACAAAAATATTTTTTAAAACACAAAAAATTTACATTGAGTGATTTTTGTAGTATTTAATTAAATATTTCACAAGTTAAACTGTTAGTCAGAGCTGGAAAGATTGTTAAGATATTTTTTTATACTTTTTCTAAGAGTTTCGTCTTTCTCATAATTGCGCAACATGTTTATTTGATTTGTCACATCGATCACCTTCATCATCGGCTTCATTTCATGTGAAATAACCTACAATAACAAAATATTTTATACTCTCACGCACGTTTGCGTCGTTTAGATATCTGTCATGAATATTTACTTGGAAGATTATAATGTAAACATGAAAGAGACACCATCGTACCTTATTTACTGATAAAAAAAAGTTTTTCGTTTCGTCTTACAATTCTTTTATTATCTCTTATATATTTCAATGCATACAGTGAATTTGGCCAAGGATTGCTCCATGAACGTGTGACAGAAATCTATATTTATATGTTTATAGATTAGTGCTCACCGTTGTGTGTTGGATAATATGCATGTTGTGTTGTTTTTAAGTGAAATATCAGAGTTTAGCACT